ATGGGGAATTACAGAGCCACTGGGGCGGAGACCGAAAGGATTTTTGAGATAAGAATATGCTTATATGTTAATCGGGAATGTAAGCTATCATCATGCCAAATTTCAGCCCAATCCGTCCAGTGGATTATGCGTGATTGAACTTGAAACAAACAAACAAACAAACACACAAACTTTCACATTTATAATATTAGTAAGATTGTAGGAACAGAAAATAACACATTAGAAAAGCGAGTTTAGCATCATCCGTAAACCTCTGTTACAATCACCCACTGCAGTTGTGATTTTTTACTTTACACTTTACACAACCGCCATTTAAGCGCCGTGTCAATGAGTGGAAACCATATTTCTAAGCCATTTGACGACGATCATTATTAAATTTAAAGTTTTAATAATGATCGTAATAATGATGATATATAATTCTAAACAATGTACAGACAAAACTCTAATTTTATTTATATAGATATTAATAAACTATAAATTATTAATAATTAATGCTAATTGATGGTAATTTATAATCCTTAGTAGACCCTAAGTTTCTATACAATTTTGTGTTGACTATGGTGTTATTTTCAATATGATTAGATAGTTTACCTTTCCAATCCTTTTCTCGTGCAGTTTAAATTTCTTCGGGCCCATTACAGGAACATCCATTAATCCGAACAGTTCTTGAATTTGATGGTGTCCAACACCTATTGAAAGGGCTCCCCATACCACAGCATCATTTACTTCCTGTTTCTTCTCATCAGGCTCGGACGTTATCACAGCATCAGTATCGCAATTATCACAGTGGTATATGAATTTGGAACTCAAGCCATTGACAACCTCTCTAGAGAATTTGTATTCACCCATTGTGCATTTTTTTGGATGCTTAGACAAAGTCTTTAACTCCTTCAAAATATGGTTTATGTCAACAACTCGTCGACCAGTTATATTTAAATCTTCTGGTTCACAATGTTCTACCAGTAAATCAGGCAATTTAAAGTCATCATCACTACTATCATCAAAATCCATTTCTTCTTCATTTCCATTATTTGCATGTTCATTGAAAGGATTAACATTGTTACACCTATTCCTGGAAAATAAGACTGATGTATTGTAAAAAACCATTATAACTGTACGCTTGCAGTTGCACATTAATTTATTATTATAAAATCAACCTGGGGCCATATTCATATAATCTTTGAACAGTAAATGGAATGTCAGCATAGCTTCCAAATCTCTGAATCGTTCGACTCGTTCTAATACTATTGATACTAATCTATGGAACTACCTTCACCTTGTATGTCCTGCTTTCCACGGAATAAACCATAACGATTAATAAATTAAAGAAATACAAAAACAGCGTTATTTGACAATTGTTTGATTTGATAGTTACATTAAAACAAACATTAAAATGTTAAATCCAACATTTAATAAAAAACACAAACATCTAATAAGTAAAACATCTTACAAGTGGTGCCTAAACAAACGCAGTGTAGCCTGAACTCATCGTTATAAGCTGCTATGTTTCTACATTTACAGTTTAGACATATTTTTGTTGAAAATGTCTAAATCATTGTGCAATTGCTACTTGTGTAAATACATGTTGGTTTTTAATTATGTTACTATTGCTAAAAGTAACGTAGTTTTCACTTACCCGCTATTCAAAAGTTGGTCAAAAATATCATCAGATGATGTAGAGGGCTTTTCTGTTGGTGTCTCTTCAACAATAACACTTTGGTTGGACAACAAACTGTTATTAAATTTAGTTTTCCTAATGTTAACAGCCCGCTTGCTCCTTTTGTGTCGATAAACCTTTCGAGGCATGGTCGCGAATTAAATGGCAAATCAAAAAAAACTTAGGTTTATAAAGATTAGCATGGAAATAATCACTTACTAATATCCCACTAATAATCACACTATCAAAACTAATAAATTATATCACTCGATGATGACAATGGCATGGCACAGGTGTAAACAGTGTTGTCAGTTTGACCGGCGTAGCGAACATCGATACAGCACAGTAGCACTAGCACAGCCGAAGAAAGTGCGGCCTTGAGCCCCGCGCGCGTGTGTGCCGAGAGCGCGCGTCCGTGCACTGTCCGTGAATGTACACACTCTCAACGAGTAGTGCGCCGCCAGCGCAAGGCATCAAAAGTACAAATTCACAGTCCAAACGAGTTAACATATTGCATTTTTTTAAATACCAACATATAGATGACACTCACCCAAAGACAAAGAGCTATTTTTAAAACTAAAAAAACAAACAGAAATATTTTTAAATTTTATAAAAAACAAAAAAATTTTTTTGAAGTTACAAATTTTCAATTTTAAAATAGCTAGTGATCATTACCTTATTTTTTCACACCTGTATGCCAATTTTGGTAAGAATCGCATAACTCATTTCCCTTGTGAATTGGTACCAAGAAATGACAAATTCGTTACTTTAAAGCTCCATATTTCCCTTAATTTTCAACTTAAAATATTAATTCTTACATATTTGTACTTCTAATTTTTAGTATAATCGAACAATAACAAAAAATCCAAAATCAAATTTTTGACCAAACACCCTTAAACAGTTTTAACACTTTTCAAACCAACAACAAGCAAATTAACAATAACTAATGAAAACTGGAATGAAATTCTTAGTATGTTGACAAATAAAAATCAGAACTTGGAATTTAACAAACATAAGTTAGGCCCTAATGAAAATGTGAACTCAATTTATTTATTGTTCGTGATGTTAATGTTGAATGTACAGTTTTCAAATTTGCCCGACAAAACTAATCCCGATGCAGAGGACACTTCGGAATGTTCTTCGAGTTGATTAGTCTGTTGTAGGCCTAGTACAGGTGCATTTTCTGGTGACTGTTTCTTTCCTAAAATCAGTTGTCCAGTTGCAATCTTTCCGCTAATAGAATCGTCGATGTAGCCTTCAGCTACTGTTGAGCTTTTCCAGCCTCCGTGACGCTTTAACTGTGTCATGTTTCCTCCTGCTTCAACTAACAATGTTGCTGAAGTGCGTCTAAAACAGTGTCCAGTGTACCTTTCGGGGTTAGGTAGATTTAAAAATGTAGCTACTTCAGTTGGGATTTTACCTATTTTATTAACACCTACAGGTTGTCTAATACAAACACCATTAGCATACTTCATGAATAATCTACTGTTGGGTACACCTGAAGGTCTCAATTTAAGGTATTTCCTGTACAATTCCAAATAACTGATATCAAGATTATCATCGTCCGTTACAGTGAAGACGCGGCTTCTGTTGGTTTTTGAGTCTGGTATTTTAACTATTAAAATTGAACCTTTATCATCTATGTCATCTACCGACATTTTAGCGAGCTCGTCTCGCCGACATGCTCCAGCTATTCCTAGTATTAAAACTACCTTCTTCAATAAGCAAGTTTCATCAGGAGCAGTTTTAATAAAGGTTTCAACCTCATCTTTTGACAACGTCATTGACTTTTTAGGCTCATAGCCTACAGACAGTTTTTTCAAAAAGGCTATAAGTTTTTTGTAGTTGCTTATGTTTACATCATGTTTAACTTGGATTGTTTTCTTGAGCATAGAATAAATGCTCCAAATAGTTGAAGACTTAATCACTTTTGATTGTTCTGCAAAATATGCCAATAATACATTTTCTGATACCTTTGTTGCCGGTACTTTCTTACCGGCGCACCATGATGAAAACTGGTCATAGGCTTTTTCGTACCTTTTTTTTGATTTGTCAGGTAACAAATTCAAACTTACGTTCTTAGCAGTTTCTGCTAATTCTTCCGGTGTGCCTAAAATATATTCCGTATCACTCTCACTTTGTTCGTTCATGTTAATACTGCTTTTCACTTAATTATATTTTTAAATAGGATGAAATAAGTTTAGGTTATGTTCTAGTTCTAACCAAGCGTTGAACGAAAATAGGACAACAACTATAAACGCGAAATGAAAGGTTAGTCAGTCAGCTGATGTTAGTATTATTATCTTTAAGTGTTGCCAACCTATTTCCAAGCGTACACGGATTACGTGCATAATAAAACCACGCTGTTTTGTGTCGTTTGGTTGGAATCCTGATGTGCGGCAAAGTATAAACCGTGCGGCAAAGTATAAATATGCAGCAATTAGCAGCTTTCTGTACTATAAACAGTACAGGGAAGCCAACTTTCTCGGGTGACTGTAGGAAAAAATCATTTTTGTTTACCATGCAAAAATAATGTTTACGGTGAAAATTCAATGTTTCCCATAAACATTTTTATATTTCCAACGTAAACCATTTTTTTTTATTGTTTCATCAACTTTTTCGATTTGCAACAACCAAAACTTTACAATCAATGTAAATTTGAACTTTCAATAGAAGGCTTAGCAAAAAATTTCATTAGTTTTGAAATGGTCATATGTTTTTATTTAAAAAGTAAATAGTCTTTGTAGTGTAGCGAAAAATAACATTCAAAAGCTGAAAGTGGATAATTTATCCACAACCATATTTAAAATGCTTTGAACACAAGGTCTAAATTAAATTTAAAAAATAGTTATTGACTTTTTAAAGTAGCCCTACACTAACAAATTAATAAACATTCAATTGCTTCTTAAACACTTTACTTAAAACCTGCAAATTTACAGGGCATACTAAACAGGTAAGATGAGTTTCTTATGTAAAACGAATTGTAATGAACTCATCTCAAAACTCCCGCCGCGGACGCGAACTTTTGGTGTGACATGGCTCGAGGAAAAACATCCGCACGCGGTACTCCTGCAGCGGGAGCGGCGGATGTCGGTGTGACATGGCCTTAAGAGGGAGTCTACCGTATTGTAAATATGAAATTAATAAACTTTGGAACTTCCAAACATTTTGAAAACTTATAGCCCTTTATCCTAGTTTAAATTCTTCATGGCTCTGAAAACATTGTCATGTTATCTACAACAAATAAACAACACAGTCCTAGAGATGTTAAAACTACCTACAGTCAGTAAAATAAAGATCAAAGACAAATTTTGAATGGTAATGTTTAAAATATCACACTTACCGCCACATTTCGAATTTGTTTTCCAGCAAACCAGTGCAGCATTTCAACAATTGCTTGAAATACTCTTGTCTTGTATTCTGTAAACAAAATAATAGCTGAAAAGAATCCTTTCTAATATCTATAGTACAAAATACATTATAAAGGAATTTTTTGAAAAATAATTGAGTTCCTCTAGCTTATCTACAAAAATTAATATCCAAGGACTAATGTACTAATGTAGGGTGTAAGTACATTGAGAGCGGCGCCCCCCACGCAGTACATGAAAATGGCGACCCCCTCCCTCCCCGCGAAAAAAAACTTCACCACTTATGTTTTATTCGTTTATCCAAGCAAAAGCTGTGATCGCGGCAAAATAAAAAAAAATCTCATGGACGTGTTTTAATCGCCTCCCTTAGTCATGGAAACATAATCATCGTGTTCCGTGGTCACGGGCAAATCTTGAATATCTCTTGCATTCGACAAAATCATGAATATCATATCTTCATCGGTCTTGTAGTAGACATCATCTTCGTTTCCCCCGGTCACGGAAACGATGTGATCTTTTTCCGCGTTTGCGGAAAATGAATCATCGAAAATATTCTTCGGTCTTGAAGACATCAGGTTCGTCTCTCCCGGTGGTCACAGAAACAACGTCATTTTATTCCGTGATTGTGGCATAATCATGAATATATTCTTCGGTCTTGAAGACATCACGCTCGTCTCCCGCGGTCACGGAAACAACGTCATCTTTTTTCCGCAATTGTGGTGAGCGGTGACAATCAGACTTCAGCGCCCCCTGGACCTAATTCAAATTCAAATTATCTTTATTTATAGTACGTACAAAACGTACGTCCTGTAGGTAACCCAGGCGCGGGGGTTGCGGGGTTATTCACGCCACTGAACCATTTCTTACACGAGCTAGTTGTATATCCAATCCATACCTTCTTCCTTGCTATTTTTCTAGTATTTTCTTCACCCTTCAATTCATTCCCAAAATCAGTAAAACGTCACCACGCAGAACATTTTACAATTACAAAACTGGAGAACATGCAGTACTGAAGTAAAGTTATAATATCAAAAATCTTTGAGCTGATACCTGGTAGATCAGTGATGTGTCCGCGTAGAGTTGTCTCTAGGTTGCTGAGTGTGACACTAGCGCCGACCCACAGTCCTGAATCACTCTGTCTCATCTCTGACATCTCCATCACCAGACTAGGCTGGATCAGCACAGGGTACAGACAGTTCTTGAACTTAACCTCCACCCCTGTAAATATAAACCTTATCAGGCTTCAGGCTCAATAAAATCACTGTTGAATTGTATACCTAGTAGTAATGTGTCGACCTACTTGAAAACAATTCATGTACGAACAAGAAACTACATTGAAATGTCAGTACCGGTACTTTGTTACCAACAGAGATTACTGGCAAGGTCTGACGGTGATGGCTACATGAGACGATATTCAGGTGTGCCGATAGGGAACAGCAAATCCAAGTGGATCGTCGCCCTTTTTCCTACAGATTGGAAGAAGGGAGCGGCTGTTAGAAAAGGGTGGCAGATAAGTAAATACTTCTCTGGGTGCTACATTTCTTATAACTTCATAATCATCCCTCACAATCACAACATATGTTGAGTTGATCTCTTTCAATCAGATTAGCTACATTTCTTTTAATGTCATAATCACAACACCCTCACAATCACAACATATGTTGAGTTGATCTCTTTCAATCAGATTAGCGAGTATCTACTGTACTTAAGAAGCTGCACTGCTCTATGATTGTTAAGTAAAAATTTGAATTTTCAAATCTACTAAAGACTAACCAATCTCAGTGTTTCCATTGACAATCTTAGCCGCCGGGTATTTAGCTTTCAGCTCCAGCAGTTCGCTGAGATTAGTTGGTCTGTACCAAGTCACTCTGGGACCCTGGACCACCAAATACTGGTTGTCCAATGTGTCCGAAACCTAAAACAGAAATATGTAATTATACCCCCGCCGCAGCAAACCTGCAGACTAAGCGAATTTCCATTTGACTGATTGGATTTACACTGAAATGTCTACTTAAAAATATAACATTTATTCCCGATTTAAATAGAATTAGTTTAACAAGTACTTAGGTTTGCTGTATCAGGGAGGGTAAAACTGTTTTTTTTTGTAAAATGTTAATAGTTAGTAAGAAATAAAAACATTTTCCAAATTTGATCAAAATATGTTCATAAACAAGCAAACTACAACAGTTTACTCATTCTCCATAAGAATAACATGGGAATTTTAAATTTACAATTTTTTGGAATTTTCTCCGTAACCATTAGGCGCATAATAACGCTTCAATATACTAAATTATTTGTTTTTTGAAGCTCTACAAAATGGTTTGGAAATTAATTGCTAAATTTTATGTTTTTTGGGTCAAAATTGGGAAAAACCTATTTTTACCCCATAAAACCCCCCGTAAACACCCGTTCCCATGGTCCGATCATGCTGGATCGCGAACTCGTTCGAATAGACGTAGGTTTACACGTTTGTACCAAATTTCATCAAAATCGGATCATTTTTGCTCGAGTTATCGTGCTGACGGACACATATATATATATATATATATATATACAGGGTGGAACGAAGTTAGTGTTAAAAAATTTGATGTGTTAAATTACTAAGTATTGGTGACAAAATGGCACCAATTTAAGTTTCCATACCCTCACAGGTAGGGAATAACAGACAATTTAAGATTTTTTCAAAATATTTGTACTTACTTACATAAAATGGCCATAAGTGCATTAAACATTGTTTTTATTCCAAACTCATTGTCATTTTCAGAATCTTCGTTAAATTTCCAATAGTAATAGTACAAATTCATTGAGATTAAACATCTGCATAAGCCCTTATTTGACCATGGAAGTTTGAATTTGTGATTTTTATAAAACATTAATAACTTTTTCCAAAGTTTTTCTATACTACACTGGACTGTAGAGAGTGTCAAATATCACTAAAAACTTCAGCAGTTAATAACCTTTAAAATGATGTATAAACATCTACTGTTCCTTTGATTTGTCGTTCTCAAATTTAAGAGTTTCTCATGCAAAACACGGAACGGCTAATATTAAATTTCCTTTAAAATAGCATGTATTTGCTTCAATAATATGGCAATAGCTGCAATAACAGTTATATTTGAATAGGGTCTATTGTAATTTTTAGAATCCTTGTTAGATTTATTATAAGAATATTAAGAATCTATTAGGATTAACATCCATATAAACGTATGTTTTGTGAAAACATGTTAAATTAGTTTTATTTTTATTTTTTGAATACATTGAATATTGTTTAAAGTTACACATGGTACATTTAACTTAAGATTTGTTTAAGCCTAAGCAATTACTTCCAATGGAGTAGCCTATAAAATTATGTAGATACTACACTTTACAATCTTGTCAATATGTTCACCGAAAACCGAGAATTAACCTAGTTCACAAATAATACATTTATACATTTCATATATTACATTTTATGTAATAGTATACCAATTAATTGATTGTAGTGCTTAGACACATGCTAATGGAAATAACTCAGTCAAGTGACATATTTCTTAACTAAAATAATTGTTAACACCTCAAAAATACTTAGTTTTATTTATTTATACAAAAACTAAAAGTTAATTCTAAAACACACAGTATTCGAAACTTAAATAACTGTTACTTACTTACTTCCTTGACGTTTTAATAGTTGCCTTCTATTTAATGCCAACTACTTGAGTTTTTTTTTTCAAAATCTCCTCCATTTTCCCAGATACACAGCCAAAGCTTTTTTTGCACGTGGCACCAACAGTAACATTAAAATACAACGTTCCTCTGACTAGCACATCTGCATTCATTATCCAGTAGTTAATTTCCTAAATATCTTCTACTAAAGATGAGTAGACCAAGTACTCTACATAACACACAAAGCAAATCTAGTGGACTTAGGTCTGGCGACCTGGCATGCCAGCAAACCACACCATCATTATAATTCTTATCATTCAAGTTGTGTATTTTGCTTTAAGTCAATCTCGCACATCGGTTGAATGTGCCATAGAACTAACACCGTACAGATATTTAATTTATTCCAATAAATAAGTAGATAATCCCCAAAATGAAAATTCATCACAAAACATAGTTTCATAAAGTGTTAATCCTAACAATTCCTCAATATTCTTGTTAGGAATTTTACAAGGATTCTGAGAATTGCAATAATACCCATTTAAACATGATTTTTAAAGCAGCTGCTACCGTATCATAACAGCCAATACATATTTTTTTGAAGGAAATTAAACATTAGCCGTTCCGTGTTTTTCATGAGAAACTCTTAAATTTGAGAACGGCAAATCAAAGGAACAGTAGATGTTTATACATCATTGTAAAGGTTATTAACTGCTGAAGTTTTTAGTGATATTTGACACTCTCTACAGTCCAGTGTAGTATAGAAAAACTTTGGAAAAAGTTATTAATTTTTTATAAAAAATCACAAATTCAAACTTCCAAGGTCAAATAAGGGCTTATGCAGATGTTTAATCTCAATGAATTTGTACTATTACTATTGGAAATTTAACGAGGATTCTGAAAATGACAATGAATTTGGAATAAAAACCATGTTTAATGCACTTATGGCCATTTTATGTAAGTAAGTACAAATATTTTGAAAAAATCTTAAATTGTCTGTTATTCCCTACCTGTGAGGGTATGGAAACTTAAATTGGTACCATTTTGTCACCAATACTTAGTAGTTTAACACATAAAATTTTTTAACACTAACTTCGTTCCACCCTGTATATATATGAATTTGAACGGATGGTGTTTTTGGCCTCTAGGGACCTCAAAACGAAAAAAAAAATCGGTCCCGCGTCCAGGTCTTACCATGAGTACTACGGTAATAGCTTATTCCCTATATGGGAAATTCGCTAAAAATCCATGTGACTCACAGTATCTCTATAAATAAAATTAAAATTTCACCTGTTCATTGTGTAGAATCAAGACTTTTTTGGCGACTTTTAGGTTTCATAGCCTAAGAAAGTTGAAACGAGTCTTATCTCAGTCATTGCGTTTGTGACGCCAAAATGCCAATTAAGCAGCCTACTCCGGGAAAACTAGCATATGCCCCTACCAATCAAGATTCAAATTGTTTTACTAATTACCGTATTCACAGAAACTGTTTTACTGTATTAGTGAGAATGTGTGTGTTGGTGGATCTATTGAAACATGGCCCAACTACTTTGGAAATAAAAAATGAACGTTCAAAAACACAGTATTGTGTGATTTTTGTAAAATGTTCTCTAAATTTTTACTACATAAGTCATTTATCAAATGACAATCATCAATATTTTGTATATAAATGTTTAACTGGTCAAAACTGAGCAGAATCCATCAGATCGGGTTCAAAATTGAATTATTTAATAATTTATTATACTATAACTTTGCAGACCAGTTTTGAACCCATTATATTATATAAGGTAGTTGAATTTGAGACAATTTTTACAATATTCAAGATAAGTAAGTTGAAATGTTGCAAAGTCAACAATGAATCTGTTGGTTAACCTTGAACCAATTAAACTTGACATAGTAGAGATTGACCTCATACCCGAATTAAATGATTGACCTATTAGATAGCAAAAGTAGTGGGGCTGGAAAGATATATTTTTTGTTAAAGTTTATAAGAGATGATAGTTATTATATATTTGTTTAACAAACTTGAAATACTTATCTACAATATATAAAACACACTTCCATTTTTGTCATCTACTGAAAGCAATGAGAAAATATGAGTTCAGTTTTTGTAACTCAACTGAAAGCAATTCTAGTATCAACCGAAAACAATTCCAAGATATCTTTCTGTTTTTGATTTTATATGCAGCCTGAGTAGTGATTGTAATATGAAAATGTTTAAACTACAAACATTCTGCTAATAAAGTTAAAGCTCTTTTTCTGGAATGGAATTACATAACCTAAAGAACACACTGGCTGAACTGTGCACTGTGTTTCTGTGCCTGATTTTGTGAAGCCCACACTGTAAAACTTAAATCGGTAAACAACATTTAGATGAAATTAGTTCACTAAAATGTAACCAGATATAAAACTCACTACAGCTCAGGATTTTGTTTTTAAAATAGGATGAGAATTATTTGCATCATGCAAAGACAGTGATACTAAACATACTCAAACAAAACAATATTCTTCTCATAAAAGATTACATAAAAGTTTAAAATTTTGTGCTTCATAACTAACCTTTAACTCAGGAGGGAAGATTGGTTCTTGACTTGGGTCGTAAGGAACAAACTCTCTCGGGTTGAATAAACTGTCTTCCACGATGTCTGATCCGTTTGTATAACCATTTTCAGAACCATTCACTTGGCTACAGCCTTCTCCGTTTTGTTTTGAGTTTTTGCAACATTTCTCTCCCATCGGACAGCCACCATTCTGTAGCCCATTAGCTGCCTGATGTTGCTCCCATTCCTCTGTGAATGTCTTGTATCCTTCAATGATTGGACGGTAACCCGTGCAGCGGCAAAGGTTACCTGAAAACCAAAATTATGTATGTCATTACTTTGTAATGTGTATTTGGCAATGTTAATGTCGCAAGCATGTAGAATACAAACATTTTATAAAATTAAACAGACTGCATTAATACTATAATGAATTTTGTTTGGATAACAGGATTGAATTTTTTTTTGATAACAGGATTATTTGGATGGGAAGAGTTCATCCTGGCACAAAAAATACAAAAACTTCACTGTATACACAATAAGAAGAGAATATTTCAACTTCCCATGTTTGAAAATGCTGTCAAATGAAAGCATTTTCAAACATGGGAAGTTTGAGTTAGGAAGAATGAAAGATGTTTCTCCCTTTATATTTTTCTTTCTTCCTTACTCAAACCTTTTTTTGGGGTGAAAATTCTGTCAATTATAGTAAATATGCTTCATTCTTATTTTTTCACTTCAAACGGGTTTGGAAACCCCGTATTGTTGGATTTTTTAAACCTCTTTAAACCTTTAATTTTTGTGTCCATAACCTAGGAAGCCTGTAAGTGGAATGTATCCAGCAAAGCAAAAGGTGAGATAGTTCTGTATAAGAATAAAGTGTACAGATCAATTTTAATAGATGACTGCTCTGGCTTCACAGTCTGTTGCTCTATCAACTCACCTGTGATTGTGGATTATGTATTCTAATTATTGTGAATCACTTAATTTTTGTTGTTGTTTAGTGCCTGGATGAGCTCTCTCTCCATTCAGGTAAGCATACCACCAAAACAACAACCCCAAAAGCCTAGGCAACACAGTCGTATTTTATATCAATTACCTAACATAATTTTTTTGAAAATAACTATGTTCAACCTTGAAAAGCTGTCTCAAGGTCTGCCATGGTAGGTTTCCCTGGTAGACTGCGCAGGAGAGAGTACATGGACATGACAATGCCAGGAGTGCAGAACCCACACTGGGAGCCATGGGCCTTGGCGATACGTTCCTATCAATAGACAAGTTTGTTGATAACATCTTCACACTGAAAAAGCTCAAATATCCTCCAACCCTTTACTCTTTGAGCCTTGAATTATTTATCGATATAAATCATTATCATACTTTACCGACATTTTATAAACACGTAAAACCAAAACACTTAGATAGTTGCAAGTGAAAACATGTTTGTTTACGTTACTCTCGATGGCCAATATACAGTAGATGCTTTCTAATCCAGCACATGCAGGTCATTGGTGGAGCCAGAAGATGAAAGTGCCAAATAACTGAACAACTTCTAAAAACAGCCGTTATTGAGACTATAGAAAATACCAATAATTTTAGAACGTCAAAATGAAATTCTGTTTCGGCAGGCCATTACTCCATTTTTATTGTGCTTTCTCTTATTTTAGTAGGGATATAAAGTGTTCAAAATTTAATTGAACTAAAACACCCCTGAATTAAATAGAGTGTCAACAGAACGTCTGCCATACGCTACAGACTCTGCCAATCACTCCTGACTCAGCTAAACATGTTAATATGGCTAAAAACAGCATTCAAAAAATGACTTTGACCAATTACGAATTATTGAAAGTGCCGGACTATCGGGAGCCAGATTGGCAGGCTTTTAATAGATTTTTCTTTGAATTTCAGTACAAAATTACACCAACAGCTCCTATTACATTGATGCTCACCTGTACAGGATGTATCCTAGAGCGTGTGCTGCCTATCCCTTCCACTGTGGTGACAGACAGTCCATGCATGGAGCACACGTGCGCCAAACATGCATTTACTGACATGTGCCTGTTCTTCAGCTAAGGAAACTCAATCATATTCTCAGTTAACACTCGCTTTCTTTGATCTGATTACACGGTAAGGTCCTGCTATTACAAACCCCACTTATTCAAAAATTTACAAAATTATGAACTTTTAAAGATATCAGTATGAAGCTAAATCAAACATCAAAGCAGCTAGCAATATTGGAAATGCTAGAAAAGTTCGCAACATAGCTGCCAACGTCAAAGGAGATAGCAATTTCACTACAAATTTAGCCGAAGCTAACAATATCACCAAAGTTAGCGATATCGATGTTCTGTTGGTGATGTTAGCAATAATGCCAAGAACGTTTGAGATTCTAGCGTTGATTTCAAAAACACACCAAGGCTATAGAGGTTTCGTGAACGTTGGCAATATTGCCTGATATTTCCTAGAATAAAATAATGATGCTGCAAACGTGGACAAAGCTAGCATAATATCTCAACGAATGGTTGAAAATTCAGCGATACAATAAATGTTGACAAAATTTTCAATGCTATCAAGAACAGTGACGAATCTAGTGATGATACCACAAATGTCGGCAAAGGTGTTAATATTACCACAAATATTAGCAAAGTTAGTTAAGTATCCATGAACCATATAGAAGATTTCAATACAACAATATAATTTTGCAGCAACAATGTCATCATGTCAGGATTGGTCCCAGTTAGTTTGGAATAGAAGGACTCTACTGTGAACATTTATTGTTAGGTAATATTTTCAGACACTTTAGGGTTACGTATCGATATCTCAACTTATCAGATGCACATTCCTAATGGTTCAAATTTAATTTCTTACAAACCAAACCACGCTGGTCAGCTGAGAAAAATACTTATATAGAGCATAGTTCAAGGAGCATTTTTTGGTGTAAAATCACTGTGTTTGTATACAAAACAAACCTGGCAAAAAATATATAGCTGTTCATGGTAAAAAGACCACTTAGCCACAAATATTTAGAGTACATAAAGCTGCTAACTTGTACCATACACTTAGATCAAATAGTAAGTTAAAGAAAGGATACACCAGTCTATTTGATGTCCGGTCGTACTTGGACACCATGACAGTACAGGCTCCACAACCTCCCTCAGCACATCCTAGCTTGGTACCTGTCAGCTGCACTGCATCTGGCTCAGGAAAATACTAACATTCTGCAAATCTACTAAGTAAGGATATAGCCTATGACTTTACAATTTTTTTAAATGATCTTAAACGGTCTTGGTTATCCCATCTTTGGTTATTTGACATTCCATATTATTCCGACTCTCCCTTTGTCGCATATGCTATTCCTATGAGGTTCGATTGCACATTGTACCAGGTATACATTGAAACGATAACTTTTTCTGTCCCTTTACTAGGGAGATACTCACCCGTCTTCAATTGACTAAACTCGATGGTACTCGTTCATTCTATTTGGGTTTTTAATACTCTCCCCCTGTATATCTCCTTACTACCTTCATGTATGAGTCTCAGTATTTTTAAAAAACCAAAGCAGTTAGATAAAAATATTGCACACTGTAGTTTTACTTCTAAAGGAGAATGAGGGATCAGACATTATCAAAAGACAATAGGCTACAACACACATTATTGAATTTAATGGATCCAATAGGATCTAATCGCTACAAAGTAATGCTAAATAGTCTATAACAATAGGTAGGTATTTAAAATGTTGTTAAATTGTTTTAATTATATTTTCTTCTTGTTCTATTTTATATGAAAAATTTTAAGGACGAGGCATGATATTTTTAATTTAGAATATAGGCAAAATGTTTAGTTCTTTATTGCACATGTTCTTACTACGTTAGGTAGGTAGTTTCTTCTTAACTTCTACGGATTTCCAAGTTGGATTATAATCCTTAAATATAATACGTGAAGGCGATTTCTACGAAACACTACTCCTCCGTTAATAATGGACGGATTTTTACAAAAATTAAGTGTTTTTTGTGTTGAGACACCCCCATTCACCAATTCTTGTAATAAAAGCACTCGGACTTTGCCCCCCAGGCCATCGAAATCCCAATGTATTTCTTATGTAGAAAAGATTTTGTTTACTCAGACAAATTATTTGTATTCATTGCATACTAAAACAGCTGTTCGTAGTAAACACATGATACACACAAGAGCGTTTGTTTTCAGAGTGAGTTCGTTTTCAGTTTCGATAGCTGGAGTGGAGTGATTGATTACCGTACATTATCTTTGAGATGACTCTTTTAAGTCATCGGAAATTATGAGTTATTCGCTTTGAAACAACACCTGTAATACTTTACAATTGCTCGAATTCGAGCAACAGGTGCACTAGTTATTTTAAATATTTGTAAAAGGATACATTTGGTGCGTAGGTAATGAAGTAATGTCCATTCTGGATCTACATTATCATCTTCAACCTGAAAAGAAAATTATTAATTATGCCAACTTATTATTGCTGGATATTGAATGACAATAATTTAGCTCATATCCATAAAACATATGAGATTCGCTCGGTCAGTCATTTACACTCCATTAACTTAGGCCTATTAAGTTTTAATTCTTCAGATACTGACTTTCACAAAATAAACAGAAGTTATTTTCAAGTATCTGTTTGTTTGTAAGATACTGTAGTCTTATCAACAGAAAAGCACAACTCAGTTATGGTGATAAGAACAATGACGCAAAACGTGTTTAGGTACACTTTCATCTTATCAGGGTTGTATTCTAAATATTTTTAGACTTGAAGGATTTCAAACTAAACACAGCATTTATCCAAGCATGTTATGAAATTGTCAGTATAAAACTATATAGGTACACTACACACAATTTATTAAAATATTATTAGCCATAGGGATTTAAGTACACACATTAACAAGTACATCACTCATCAGCACATATTTAATACTGTACTGAATTTACCCCTAAACACAGATTAAATAAACTAAAATTGTTTTAAATCTGGGTTGATTTAAAGCAACCTAGATCTTTTTCATACAGAGAGGCTTCTAGAATGGTCTTGATTTCACTTTGGACGAAATCAAGTCCATTCTAGATGCCTCTCTATTGAAGGTTTCAATTTTGGAAAAGTAGACAATTTTAAATACCTTGGCACAATAATAAGTGCAAATAACACCGAACATTCCGAAATTCAAAGCCGAATAAATGCAGCCAATAGAAGTATGTTTGCCTTGAATAAACTATTAACTTATATCATCAAAGCTGTTTTCTGTCAACACGAAACTAAAAATTTACAAAACTGTTATTCGTCCAATTCTACTTTATGGTTCTGAAACATGGACTCTGGACAAAAGTACTGAAAAAAAACTTGTCACCTTTGAAAATAAAGTACTAAGAAAGGTTTTTGGACCAACAAGAGAAAATGGTGAGTGGAGGATCATAAATCTTTATTGGTTATAAAATAACAGATGTTACAATAGACCTCGTTAACAAAAAAAGATGCCAAAAAGGGCCATAGATTCTAGATAGTATAACATGGTCTATAACATGGAATCGTCACTAAACTTATATAACAAAGGCAACAAGAAAATAAATAGTTAAAATCATTTGAAAAACACAGAACTATATACTAGTGATGGGCGATACGGACGCGTATCGCGATACAGCGATACGATACGTATCGGAAAAAAATATCGTATCGCCGTATTGAATCGGGCGTCTGTATCGCGATACGCGGATCGTATCGTCAAAAATATCGAAAAACGATACGTATCGTATCGTTTTCCCCCTCCCCTACCTAACCTAGAAACGGCAAATTTATATAAGTAGCTGGGGACCGAGCTTTGCTTGGGGAAAATCAGTAATAGTAAGTAAACAGTAAATCAGTAATCAGGTAAATACCCAAAAACTCCTATTTCAAACTACACATCCACAGAGTACAGATTTTGCAGTTTGCTCGGCCTGCGCAAAAAAAGCTTAAAAATATCGTTTTGACATGAATCGTATCGCTCTATGTGCCGATATAAATACAAATATCGTTTTAGACGATACGATACGTATCGTTTTTAAAATATCGTATCGAAATATCGTATCGTCCCTCGCGTATCGCGATATTCCGATACGATACGATACGTATCGCACATCACTACTATATACAGACTATATCAAACACAACAGAGAAATTAGAGACCTTTATAAAGCACCAGATGCTGTTGGGGAAGCAAAAAGTTGACGAATAAGATGGCTCGGGCATCATGTGTTAAGGAGAGAAGATGATGCATTGATAAAGAAAGTTTGGAAAGAGAACCCTGTTGGAAGAAGACCTCCTGGGCGTCCCAAAAAGAGGTGGAAAGATGAAGTGACCAAAGATATGAGGAAGATAATAATCATGGAGAAAGATGCTGAAGATCGGAAGAAATGGAGACATTTAGTTGACGAGGCCAAATACCACCTTGGGTATCGATGGCCATGGGAGTAAGAGTAAGAGTAAGTAAGATCTTTTTCAACTCTGTTGTATATAACTACACAAAGAAAAAGAATAGGCTAGTACTTATATTCCAAGCCATACCTGGCCATTATAAACAACAGGCAATTGTATTACGGCTGAAATAGATTAACTTTTTGTATAAACATTGATGATGGAAACAAACAGCCATTTAGGTCAGGGTTAGGTTGGAAAGAAACACTGTAGGGCCTACCTAGGCATCTAGTCAGAAAAAATCGAAAAAAACTAAGTTACTAAACTCAAATCTACTTTCATTTCAAATTAGGCCTACTACAACTTAACTGGAAAATTTTAATGACAATTTTGTGGCAATTTCTTGTTAATGTGGATAAAATGGTACAATGTATGTACAGTACATAGTGGGATATAAAATTACAATTAAACTTTCATTTAAATCTAGGGATCCTAATTTATAAAGGCAATAACTTAGTTGTATAAGATGTTACATAAGAAGTCCTTGAAACTTTCTGATGTGAGAGAAATTATGCCAAAATTGAAAATACCAGTTTTGGCGAGTGGAAAAATACAATACAAATATTTACTTAATATTTCTTTCATATGGATGTGTAAAATTTAACCAACAATTCAAGCGTAGAGAATAAAAGATTCAATAAAATAAACTGGTAGGATATGTTTATTTTTACTTTTTTCTATAAAAACATCTATATTAAAATAATTTAAATTACCGTAATAAATTCACAGAATACAGATTACTCTTTGAGAGCTGCTTTGCTGCTTGTCCTCTGTTTGAATGTAGTTGTGGGCCCTGAGTTAGGCCCCACTCATAAAGATTATTCTAAGTTATAACTAATAAATGGATTTAGCAGTTTAATTGATAAAATTTACAGAAGAACACTAAACATAGCCTAGTAAGAAAAATTAGAGGTAAATATAACAGCAAATGGATTATTTCTAACATGTGCTGAGACATTTTTTGAAGTTTGAGAGGCAGAATTACATAATACAAATTTAACAGTAAACACACCAGTAACATTATTTAAAATTGATTCTTTACTCACCTTCTTCCCATTGACAAAGAAAATAATAGTGGATGATTTTTGGGGCACTACCATCGCGAATCCGTAATTGTGTAACTAAAATATAAAATAAAAATATAACAAATCAAATTACAATCTCAAGTGTAGGATGGAAGTGATTGTATAACAGAGGCAACAGTTGAATTATTGTGTCTGTCTGCTGCTGCACAGAGTACAACCTAGTCAATCCAAGACGATGAAAGAAACAACGAATGAACAATGAACTATGAAGAACCGGATTGGAATATAGCGGAGCGGTAGCGAGTTGTAGGAATTACGTAACCAGGTTCAGGTAACGCCCCCACTACTCCCTCACCAATACAAGCATAAAACCACAAAAATGTAACCACAAAAAATTACAACTCCACTAAGTCTTGTAGGTTTAATTTTTGGATTAGACTAAATATGAGCCACGGCCATATCTAGTACACGAAACGGGCCAAAATCCTGAATCAATATAAATTATAGGAATAGGTTCGTATACTATACGAGCCTGCGGTAAAATATTAGATGGCTCACTTACACTACAGCTCATTTAGCTACTAAGCTCTCTTTCACGCTGCACGACTAGTAAACGGCAGGAGAAGTAAAGCAGAAGTATGTTTTATCTATGGCAGAACGGCGGTATTGGTTTACCATCAACCGCGCGACGTGTAGCTAAATGAACTGTAGTGTAAGTGAGCCGTCTTCTGTTTTTGTAATATTTATTATGAAATAGGCTCGTATAGTATACGAGCCTATTCCTGTAATTTACATAAATTCAGTATTTTGGCTCGTATACTATACGAGCTTATTCCTGAATAAAAAAAAATAATTCATACGTTTGGCTCATAGGCATGATCTTGTAGGTAGAGTAAGTGAACCCTCTTCATTTGTATTTGATATTTTCGATAGGCTCGTGTAGTGCAAGTGAACCTTCAATATTATTTACGAGGCTCGTATAGACTATGATCTGTAGACTAAGTGAGCCATGTGTTTAAAGAATTACATATTTGGAGGCTCATAGTGTCTATGATTTGTAGTGTAAGTGAACCCTAACCAAACTAAGCACGGTTTGTTAAACTAATGCTATTTAAATGTGATATTTTCAAGGAGATATCATATTATAGTGTAAATCCAATCAGGCAAATGGAAATTCACTTAGTCTGCAGGTTTGCTGCAACAGGGGTAGTTTGAGATTGGTGGGTATTATATATTTATAATCACTCTTTAGGGAATATGAATAGTAACAGATTCGGAAGTCTGCCAATAGTTTTATATAGTATAAGTAAAAGTACTCGGTATTCAATGGTAACAATTTTTCAAATTGGTTTGAGTTTGAGATCCAACTTTGCGGGCTTGAACAACAGAGATGAAACACGTCAACGCTACTGCTGTTTTTTTGTGTACTGTAATGAAAACTGAAAGTAATGGTCGTCACTAGTGATGTGACGAGTCGGGTACTTTCCTGACTCGAGTGACTCGACTCGCCAACTGCCGTGTACTCGAGTTACGAGTCGAGTCAGACTCAACTCGAGACGTTCCGAGTTCGTGTGAGCTCGGCATTCTCCGTACGAGTTCGTTAGTTTTGCGAGTCGGCCGACTCGGTACCGGCCAATAGCGTGTCAGCTTTACGAGTCGACTCGACTCGACTCGAGACGTTCCGAGTTCGTGTGAGTTCGGCATTCTCCGTACGAGTTCGTTAGTTTTGCGAGTCGGCCGACTCGGTACCGGCCAATAGCGTTGAATCTATGCGAGTTGACTCGTAAAGCTGTGACGCTATTGGCCGAAAGCGAGTGCGAGTAAACTCGAGTCAACTCGTTACGTCCCGAGTTCGTTAAGGTTCGGCTTTCTCCGTATGAGTTCGGTTTCTTGACTCGGCTTTTGCGAGTCGGACTCGTAACGTTACGAGTTCGTGTAGCTTCGGCAATCTCCGTACGAGTTCGTATAAGAACTCGAGTTGGAATTGAGGTGACTCGAGTTGACTCGACTCGGGTCTTGACTCGAGTCAACTCGACTCGCCTACTCGCCAACTCAACTCGTCACCAGTGTTTCCATTTGAGGGATAAAAATCCCTTTCTAGGGATATTTAGGGCCTTCGAGGGATTGAAAAGGGATTGAGGGATAACTAGGGATAATCAGCGAAATTGGAGGATTTTTTAGATTTTCTAGGGATTTCAGGCCTTTGACATTATAAAATTGAAATATTGATAAAATAATACATTATGGCTGTATTTCAACAACGTTAAGGACCTATTTTGGCTAATTTTGCAAGGTATTGATAACACATTGAATTGATTATAGGTACTACTTTTTCCCTAGGTTTTGGTAACAAATTGATTATGCTATCGGTGTAGCATAGATAAAAGATACTCCTCAAGGAGGATGTTTTATCCATGGTTGTAGGTAGTGGTAGTGACGTAGTGTTTCAAAGTCGGAACACACAAGGGGAAGAGTAACAGCCAACACTGCACGAAACAAGCGAAGGGCTGGAGTTGGTCGGTGGAATGGAATGGCGGATCTAGATTACTGTATGTTTCTTAGTAGCCCTGTGCCCTGTGTCAATGTCGAATGTTTGTTTTCGTTTTGATTTTTTTTACCGGTGATTCCTGTGATGTTTTTTGGTTAGTAAGTAACTTGGTGTAACCTTTTCACCAAGGCATGGTGGCCATGTTAATAATCTTGTTTTGTACCACATAGACAGTTTTTAATCACGGCTACCTTTAATTCCAGGCCGGAGGCCGCGGCCTTCGAAGTGGCATCGTTGCAAGAATAGTGTTGTAAAAGGTGTTTGTTTGGAGAACGCTAAACTAATGTTATTTATGTATTTTTTTTAAGAATACGAAAGCTTGGTTACGGAGCTATGGAAATGTTGACTCCACATTGAATGTACAGAAATAGATTTTCAATTTATATTGTTTTGGTTTTCGATTCTATATTATGTTTTATTTCCATGTTAACTTATGGGACGTCTGGCGCTAAACAATACTACGGTACTTGCAACGTTGCCAATTCTCAGGCCGCGGCCTGCCTGGAGTTAAAGATGGCCGCGGTTTTAGTGGTGCAAAAATGTTTTTTTTAAAGTGTTACTTTATAAATAATTTTGGATATTGAAGAATAATATCACCAGTTACCATATTTTAGGTGGCTATACATGATATCCATTGGTATTGCTGCAAAAATAATAAGTTATCTAGATTTGATGGAGAGGGATAATTGGAGGGATTATTAGAACACGGACTAGGGATAACTAGGGACTTTTTGACGTTGGCCCAGGGATATTTTTTTCTTGCGGATGGAAACACTGCTCGTCACATCACTAGTCGTCACTCCTGAATTCTGTTATAATAAAGTTAAGTTAGTGAGTTGCATTAATTATTAATTTGTACATAAACCAAGTTTATTACCTTCTACATAGTTTTGAAATAATTTGAAATGACAACGCTCAGAGAGAAACAAATAGGTAAATTATTATTTTATGTTAAATAATACTGTGAAGTAATCTAACCTTAAAAATAATGCACACAATCTAGGCTAATTGAATGTTTTGGGTTGTATAAATGTATTGGTGATGTTTTAAGACGTAAAATTTTTTTTCTTGCCTGGAACTTTAAGCGCAACGAATATATTTTTAACTAGGCATACCTACCGATAAGCTTCCTAAATTTATAATTTAGGCTAACTTAGGCTTGGAAGTTAAAACAAGATATGGCCTTTTGCCCCATTTTGTTTTAGGGATGAGGACAAACCTGGTTTAGACCTAAATGAAGCCGTGTTTAGTTTGGAACTTACCGTTTGGGAAATTGTTTAGATGGGGGTGACCAAGCGTTCTATAGTAAGTTATATATCATTGGAAACTAGATTTTTACCTGAAAATAGGCTAATGGTGCAAAAATTTTTCTGCTGCCACAAAAACTGAATTTACTACGATTTTTTAAAGTTTATTACTGTAATGCATCTTGTCGGCTGGTCTCTGTCGCCATAACTTTACTGTGAATTGCCAAAGAGGACAAGGAGGTAGAGGCATTTATAAATTCAACTGAGCGTTGATTATGAACTACTTCAGTTCTTATTTAGACATGTGAGGTGGGTAGGTTGGGTGTTCTGTGGACTCGTGACTGTATTAAGTTAAGTGTTTTGAAGTTAGGTTAGATTAGGAAGGTAAAGGTTAGGTTATAATGAACCGACTCATTAATTTATGCTACTTCCAGACTGTTTTTGCACAAATAAATAGTGGGTGAAACACAATGAAATAACATAACGATATCAAAAATGCATAGCAAATATGAAAATTATTCGATATTTTCATTCGGGTTGTTTTTGACAACAGATATGGAAGTCTACCCTATAATACTGTTTCCAACATTAGGCCTACTGTTTGATGTTTCTGTACCAATTATTTCTTGGTTTTTTAGGAACATTAGTTGTAAACACGTTTAACTCCGGTGTAAGTTAAACGTGGCTTTGGGCTACTTACCTAAGTTATTTTACATTTTAAAAAAACTGAGGAGGGCACAAGTTGATAATAGATTCTCTGATTAAAAAATAAATGTTTATTTGTCTACTTAAACATTGTTTTTCTTGCTGAATCCAAAAATGCAATTAGAGCCTAAGCCTAGTTTTTAACCCTGGAAAGAGTCCTAAATGTTTGAAAGACAAATAAAATATAACAAACTAGCAGAGTACTTAGGCCTACCCGTCCTTCGTACGGGGTTGGCTTGTAAGTATATAGTGTGTAGGCTATTGCAGTATGGGAGACGACACGGTTTAAGAAAATTTGGTTCTTTTAATCCATAGCCTACGGTATGCTATAGTAGGCCTATAGCACATCTACCATAGCCATATTGATTGTTCTACTGCACCTAAACCATAGAAAAAGGTTAAAGTTCTCATTGCGCAGCTTTTTGTTGCTAGTTGGTTTAAATTACCGGTAGCTGTTGTCATAAATGCATGAAAATAATAACTTAGTGGCTGCACCCTGTTGATAAACCTTATAACTTTTTAATGCTATTTAATACCATAGAACCAACTTGTGAAGTTGAACCGGATGACAAAATCCTTTAATTCCTTTCAAATATGAATACTCATAAGGTTAACACGGGAAACTCCTATTGTAAATCGTTGTTGTTGATGTGAGCCACCGAAAGATTGTGCTCATCTAGCCTAAATTAATGATTTCTGCGGAATACACAAACTTTTTTCTAGACATACTAATAGAAGGACTTTTTGTGAGCTAGCAACTGTTATGATCTAACCAACAACTACCAACAACTGTTAACTTGGTTGCCAACAAAAAATAAGGAGAAAATAGAATTTTAGACACTAACGCATTCTGTGACTGGCTAGCTAAAGTTATGTTCTTTCTTAATAAAAAATTTGCGACAGCTGGTCCATATTGGTGGAATGTCTACTTCAGTATCCAATGGTCAATGCTTTCATATAGACAGTCTGAATACACATTTTGAGTACCAAACAAACCTACAAAACTAGTCCAATCCTATGGTTAGAAACATGTAGGCTAACTTAAATTTATAATCATGAATAACTTTTGCCTTTATTTATTTTATTAGTTCAGTTTGTTCATATTTATTTCAGGTGCTGAATACTAAAGTAACAAGTGGAATACGTATAGAAGACTTGTAATATAAATTGAATAAGCTTTACTATCATTGTATAAATCATTCAAGATGGTCGTAATTATCATCAATAACGACACTGAATTCCAGTCACATTTAGTGTCCAATGGGAAGTTGGTAGTAGTAGACTTTACAGCATCCTGGTGTGGACCTTGCAAGCGAATCGCTCCTATCTACGATCAGCTGGCTATAAAATATCCTTCTGCAACGTTCCTGAAAGTGGACGTGAATGTTTGTCAAGATACAGCAATGGCTCAGGGTGTTACTGCAATGCCGACTTTCATATTCTACAAGAACGGTGAAAGGATAGATCACATGTCAGGCGCCAACCCACAGTTACTAGAGGAGAAAATTAAACAGCATGCTTTGTCGTCCGAATCAGGAACAGAAGTCCCATCTCCTGTGAAAGGCCAGTTGGATTTGGCACCATTTATGGTGAAAAGCAACGTGGAAGCTTTGAACGAGAGCGACAGCCACCCGCTGGGCAACTGTCTCAAGGATGACGACACTTACCTTCTGTCTGACTGTGACAACCAGCTTATCATACCTATCACTTTCAATCAAGCTGTTAAAATTCATTCAATCAAAATCAAAGCTCCTGAAGCGACTGGCCCAAAAACTATCAAGCTCTTTATCAATCAGCCTACTGTTCTGGACTTTGACGCAGCTTCCCAAAATGTCCCTACTCAATTAATCGAAGTCAAGCCATCTGACCTTTCCTCTGGAAATCCTATCGGTCTTCTGTTTGTAAAATTTCAAAACGTCCAAAACTTGCAGATTTTTGTTCAAGATAATCAAGATGGCTCTGATGTGACTCGTATAGACTATTTGCAACTTTTCGGCTCTCCGATTATCACTACAAACATGAGCAACTTCAAAAGAGTCGCTGGCAAAGCAGGAGAAGTCGACCATTAGTTTGAGTCTCCCTATTTTGGACATGATTTACCTTTCTGATAATAATTTCTATTTGCATTTTCTTAACACAAGTCACATTAAACTGCATTTAAACTGACCGGTGGTGTATTTTCTTTTGAGAGCTTAAGTACTAAAGGTTTTGTTTGTTTAAAATGTACCAAGAAGGAAAGCAGTCACTGCTTAAAATATGGTTGAGAATTGTAAATCTGGTTGATTTAATAAATATTACTGAAATTGCAATGCTATTTTTTATTAGTTGCTGTTTCCTACACCTGTTGATATTAAGGGAGATAGCAGCTAGTGTTAGGTTGTGATGTAAATTTGAATACATTTTCTATAACAGTTTTACACAATCTTTGTAAATACCTCTAAATTATAAACTGTAATGTAAATGCAACATTTACAAATTGGTTCTGCTGTGGTTTGTTTTAGGTGCGTTGAGGCAAATGCTAAACTTGAACCAGCCTCAAACCAAAACAATGGCCTCGGAACCAGTTTGGAAAATTCTAGTTTATGATCGATACGGACAAGATATCATATCTCCCTTAATATCTATAAAAGAACTACGAGAGCTAGGTGTAACACTCCATGTGTGAGTATAGTTCAGATTGGTTTTTAAATATTATTTTTATTTTATTCATCCTTTGTTTACTATAAAGAATTGAGGCCTATACTGTAGAATGATTTTTTTTAGTTGAATCTAGACTACTTTTCATTACTTACTCAACTCCTTTAGTTTTATTTTGTGCATTTTAGCCGTTACAGTACGGTGTCTGAGTCGAGTAGTTACAATGCCTACCTTTAAATCTGAGGGTTGCTGGTTTGATCCTGGGCTGGATAGATTTTTGACTAAGATGCTATTTGCCATTTAGTGATACTATTCATTTATCAAGGAGAGGAAAAAGACCAGGGTTTGAACTTCCCCCAACTGGTAACCTTACACTCATAATAAAGAAACAAAACTGGTTTCATATGATATAAAATCTCAGTAGGTCTACCTGAAACCATTTAATGATCACACTCCCTTATTCATTATGGGATTGGCCCAAAAAATATGCTCATCTCTGATTTTTGTAGAGTGAACAAGAATTTAATGTTAACTATTATATTTTGTTATTTTACCAACTTTTATAGAATTTTCTATATGTTCCACAAATCTATTGTGGATTTGGTTAAAGTTCACCATCTAAAATTAAGATAGAAATATTTTATAGATGGTAGCACTCTCAAATAAAATAAAAAAATAAATAAATAAAAAAAAAACATGAAATACTGTAGGCTACACAGTCAGGCTACACTTCTTGATTAGGCTACACTTCTAAAAACATGAACAACTAAGATTTAAAAAAAGGTTAAAGGCAAAAGGTTAAAAGTCTACTTGCAGTAGCCTAATCAAATTCAAGACTCAAACAACAGTATACACCCCCTAATATAATCCAGCATGCTCGTGACGTTGGCAGTGCTGTCATATTGAGTACCGCCTAAAAGTGGGCGTTTTTTAAAAAATGGTGGGAAAATTTTTCTAAAAACTATAGTTTAAGGGTCTATCATAGGTATCAGGCCAATATAATAAGAACATTCTGAAATTTCTATTCAGTTTAGCCTGAATAGAAACATTTGGCCGAAGCTGGCTTAGTACTTTCACTGTACTGCAGTTTAATTTAAAAGGCAGCGAGGTTTGATTTCTTATTCAATATGCTACACTGAATATTCCACATTTTACATAGCAGTTTTTAAATTTTTTAGTCTAAGCTCAAATACAGCAGAACCTCAATGACAAGACTGTCATGGGGATGATCAAATAAGACTTGCTTTGCTATCAAGGTTGACTTCTTTTGGAGGTTTTCAATAATATGTAGCCTAGTTATGAGTTGTATGAAATCAATGGTAGTGTATTCAAACATTACTCTTGTTATCAAGGGTCTACTTATTGGGGTTCCAATGTATAACCACTGAGGTTGGTTATTGAACTATATACCTCTAGCAAAACGGGAGTGCGGATGGAGACCTGTGAGGGTGCACGCGTTTGAAGGGACTTGACCTGGTCTCCATCGGCACTCCCGTTTTGCTAACACTGTAACTATTTCATCTATAATGTTGAGGATACATAGGCCTACTTCTTGACGTTTTTAATTTTTATGAACATCAGGAATGACAAAGTAGCCTTTAAAAGAAAACCATGTTGCTGACAAGAATTTTTTTTGTAAGCTTGTTGAACTCTTTCCCCCCCAAAATGATTGTAACTTTTATCCTTAAAAGTAGCAATATTGTAATATATATTTCCGGCATTATCGGGTGCAGGCAGTTGCACTCCGATAGAGATCCTATCCCCGATGTACCAGCTGTGTATTTCTGCATGCCGACGGAGGAAAACCTCGGCAGGATAGGGCAAGATCTCAACAACAACATTTACGACATCTACCATCTCAACTTCATCTCTCCGATATCCCGGCAGCGATTGGAGGACCTAGCTGCATCAGCATTGCAAGCCAACTGCGTCTCTCACATCCACAAGGTAGGCATGTGTTGCTAACTTGCAATTGTAAGGTATTATCTGAATTGCTTTGGTTAATCTCTTAAATAAATTATCCACACTAAAGTAACTGGAAATTCAAGTGGGGATAGTCCTTGAATTAGGCGTCAAGGAAACTCTGGAAATGATTCATATAATAAGCAACTGCCTTTTACTAGCTTCACTAGGTGGGTAAGGTTGACCTCTGATGAAGCAGCGGTGCTAACTGATTTAAAAATCTGATTTGGATTTTTATCAACAAAACCGACTACTTTAACTGAAATGGCGACCATATGAGTAGGTATTTTAAGCCGAGTATGAATGGAGATGAGTGTAGGATGAGTGGCGTGATCTTGTTTTTATATTTTTTTACAATGTTCTTACAAATAATATTTTAAATTTTTAATTAGGCGTATGTATTTGAGAATTGACTTGTCATTTTAATCATAGACAAGTTGCAAACATGAGAGAGGACAGTCATCGATTTTACTGGCCATCATCTACAAGTACTGTCTGCGAGAGTAAAGAAGTCCTCTGAGCTCCGGCCTATTCGTAGTTTGAAGGTGTTACGCTTGAACGTTTTGCGCGTCAATTACTGTAGAGCCGTTTTGACGCTGCTCTGCTAGTTTTAAGGCTTATTTTTGTATTTAATATCTGTATGATTTTTATAAATCTATGTCATAATATTTTTTTGCATAGTCATACAATTGAAGGAAACCCATTTTCTAGTGTTACTAAGGCAAATTAATAACCTTTCTACTTTATGATTTTTGTTTAGTTAAATGTAACAATACCAATACAAAATAACCTTTCTACTTTATGATTTTTGTTTAGTTAAATGTAACAATACCAATACAATATAATACAATAAAATCCTTTTTAAATCCGAGTTTGAAAGCATTAAACCCAAATAATTAGTTGATCCATGAATATACTTATGGTGAATGCATATTACACGAGTACAGCAGTTTCAATAGCATTCATAACAATAAACAACTTATTATTAAAGTTATTAATCCTTTTACCATAAACCTAAGAAGAAAACAAGCAAAACCCCTTAGCTTGACCCAATGTCTATGACAATCACGCGGTTTGACGCGTTTACATCAGGTAACACGCCATTGACGTCTATACTTTTCCAACATTTCTGGAACGTTAAATTACTATCCATCCAAGTTTCGTCCAGATAGAAAATTTTCCTTTTTTGTTCCCTTAGCTTTCTTATCTCTCGCAAATACTTAAACCTCCAATTAACGATGTCAGGCCTTTCAATCAAACATTTTCTTTTAGGACCCAATTTCTTCCACTTGAACCCCATATGTTTTAAGAGACGCCAAAGTGCCCATTCGCTCCATTTAAAATTAATTCTTTCTCTCAAAACAGGTAAAAGTTTTTAACATATAGGGACAATCTATTTGTTTTTGTAAAAATCGCGGATTACATCTACAAATACACGCCTATCAAAGCTATCTATTTGTACTTTATGGTGGTCAGCCTTCTTGCGTTTTTTCCCGGGTGTACAGAGTTTTTCATCCGGAGTTTGTTTGCCGGCTTTTTTAATTCGTTTATAGTTTTTTCTGGAACTTAACAATAGTTTGCGGCACGTTCTGTTGCCTTTTCTATCAGCACTAATACATTTTTGTCTTTACATTCGTTGTCACAACACTCGATCACCCATCTAATTAAATCCCTCTCTCCACTATGTATAGTAGCTTAAATCCATAGCTACAAGGACCGTCCAAAACAAAACGCATACACACGAGACTGCAATGAATCAAATGACGTGACCACATGATGATAATCCACTTACCAAAACAAAGATATTAGTAATTATGTTTACCACAGTTGTTTATAGACAAGACATCGAGGCGAGGCGCCCAGATGCTTAGCGCCTGAAAATAGTGCGCGATACCCTCCAAACATAGCTGCGTATCGCTCTGACTCAAGGGACTTCTTTACCCTCGCGGACAGTAAAAATATCCTGTTTCCATACAAAATACATGTACAATTCACATACTCTTCAACAGTCATCAAAATTCAAGTAGGCATATAATTCTTAGTTCTCCAGTTGGCTGGACATACTGGTTTTAGCTGCATTTGTTAGAATTTAGCATTGCCTTAAAGTTTTAGTTAAATTAACACCTAGATGTGTTATAAAGCATAAAACTATTTTAAAGTATATGTAGGGGCAAGTCTTAAAATTAGTCTGATTGGAAACAATGTTTTCATTTAGCATATTTTGTAAAAGGGGTGTCAAAAATGACTCGCATGTTCGGGAAAAACACCTTGCACCGGCCCTGTTCTATACACTCTGACCAACAACACATTTATTGTACCTAAATGTTGAAAGAATTATATTTTACTAGGTGTTCGACCAATACTTGAATTTCATTTCACTTGAAGACGATATGTTCATTCTGAGACATCAAAACAGTGATGCAATGTCTTACTATGGTAAGTAAAGTTCTCATGACTATTTAATAATAAGTCAAGCCGTTTTACATATTGAAAACATATAGCTCTTGCCTTTGTCTGCCGAACTTATGAATCCTTATTGAACAGAATTTAACAGCTAAAGAAATATGTTTTTTAATGTTAGTAACTACATTTTTACTAGTATCGTTCATATTTGTTTTTAAATAATACTATCAAACATTGTGGAGCAAACATTTTAACTTGATAAATTATTGAACATATTAAAATAAACCCTGCAAATAAGATCTATGCCTCAATTCAAAAGTTTTGTGATCACTAATGTATTACGATTACGGTACATGTTTAGTTATTACAAAAACAATAATATTGACAAACTTAAAGAGTCTTGAATGCCTACAGTTTCTTTTATGTTTAAGAATATTCATAGGCAATGCATTTGAAAGGGATTGTTTTTTTATTTAGCAATAAACCGAGGAGAGATAAAGGACACAGAAATGGAGCAGATAATGGACTCTCTTGTGGACAGTTTGTTTTCTGTGTTCGCCACTTTGGGTAAGTCATAATGACAAAACATAAAAAAATAAGTCATTTGTTTATTGCTTAAGTTATTATGATAATTTTAATCACAGTGATGAGATTAATCACCTGTTATTACACATGTTTTGCAACTTTTTATGTCTAAAATAATATTTTCCTACAGTCACCCGACAAAGTTGGCTTCCTTGTACTGTTTATAGTACAGAAAGCTGCTAATTGCTGCATATTTATACTTTGTCGTACGGTTTATACTTTGCCGCACATCAGGATTCCAACGAAACAACACAAAACAGCGTAGTTCTATTATGCACGTAATCCGTGTAAGCTTGGAAATAGGTTGGCAACACTTAAAGATAATAATATTATGAGTAGCTGATTGACTACTCTAACTACGATTTAACCTGTCATTTCGTGTTTATAGTTTCGGTATTTCTGAACTTTCTGGACTTTTCTTTTAAACGTTTTTAAAACATTCCTACGATCTTAATAAACAAGACAATACCTTTAAAGCATTTTTTTTAGGCACAGAAACCACTTCAAATTACAAAAACATACGGAACTATATTCTCAAAACGCGGAGCACATCTCTTGCCGAGGAAAAATAGCGGAGTGATACGGACCGCGGGTACTACTTTCTCTAGGGCACCATTTGTGTTGCCAGCTGAACCTAAAAACGTGTTGTATAGTGTTTGAAAGACTAATTATTTATATGCTTTATAGTGACTGTAGGAAAAATATGATGTGTAACACGAGTGAAAAAGGCCTTTGCTGCACTCGAGATCATTCCGCATTCCCCTGCGGCTCGTGCGTAAACATTGCTCTCGTGTGCAGCAAAGTGCCACTTTCACAACTAGTTACACAAATAACTATTTTCAAATGAGAAAAAAATATTCTGTTAACAAAACAGTTTACTAATGAAGACCTCATCGTTTCCACTTTCTTTAACTATGTCAGTCCTCAAAACTTTGTGATTGACTCACACTTAAAAAAAATTAATAAATAAACTAATTTTTAATTTTATAAACCTTTAACTGGGACCAATTACTTACGCAGGAGGAATTTCAAAAGAGAGAAGTTTCTGCTATGAATTCTGAGAGAAGCACTGGACTATACTCATTAGTACTAGCTTCAAATGCTGCTTGAACCACTGTTTACCTTGTTTAAAGTATAATGCATTAGGCCTTACATCTATTGGGTATATTACCAATGGTTTATATGAATAAAAATACAGATTTTAAGTAGTTTATTGATGTTTAAGGGACTGTTCCGGTAATCAGAAGTCCAAGAGGTAACGCAGCAGAAATGGTTGCTGAGAAGTTGGATAAGAAACTGAGAGAAAATTTGAGGGATGCAAGAAACAATTTGTTTACTGATTCTGCCAGCACTGCATTTAGGTATTAAATTGAAAGTCCTAAATGTAAGAAAACTAAATTTGAGATTTTATTTTATTTTATTTGCCAATATACTACTGTTTATATTGGCAATTTTCCATCTCGATCAGTAGGATCAAAATAATATTCCTGAGGCTCAGGATCTGGAAAGTGATATTTTTCTTAGGTAAGAAAATTTAAACATTACAAGATTTGCACACTAACCCAGACAAAGGTAGGAAATCACAACTACAAAACACACAAAAACTACACTAAGAAACAAATGTATAGTTGTCAAAACAAGGAACAAAAACTGTCACCAGTTATTTCTAGTTGCCATTGCTCAGCTATTTGCCTGGCGGATAGTGACCTTAGTCTCATTTGCGTTACCATCTTGTGTAGACATGTCCATTGTGTTCGCCAATTTTTTATTTGTACTTATTGATTGTCTATCTCATTTTGACAACTGTATAGTTCTATGGTTTCTCTGTATGTTTTTACTTTGTGATTTTCCAGTAAAGTGATGATTTTCACTAAACCAGTGTTTTCACTTTCCTCTAGCACTGTTTGTTTTAGACTGGTTTTCGGATAACAAGTTTTGGATTTGGACAACTCTACTGTGTATTATATTATATTGTATGTAGAAGTATGCATTTTATAACCAGGCAATCCATAATAAAAGCCATTTATTTCAACTTCATTTGGTCCTAGACTACAATGTCTGTTGCACAGTTTCCAGCGAGTGCTGTTGATCATCCTGGACCGCAACATGGACATGGCCACGATGCTGCACCACTCGTGGACCTACCAGGCGCTGGCTCACGACGTGTTGGATCTTGCACTCAACCGTGTGGTTGTGGAGGAAACCAGCGGCAAGTCTCCGAAGGGAGGGGTCCGCAGCAAGGCGCGCGCCTGCGACCTGGACAACAAGGATAAGTTCTGGACAACCCACAAGGGCAGGTAAAGGCGAGCGTAATGCGTACCTCTCTTTATTCCTTGACTTTAGAGAACACTTTTTGCAGCACAATACAGCCATACAGACTCTGCGTAATGTGAACTGGGAAGGCCAACAAAGGCGGGTGAACTTATACAGGGTTCTTTGCAACTTACATAATATATATTCTTTACAGGTATGCCTTAACTGTATTAAACAGTTTTCAAGAAATATTTCTAAACAAATGCTAATTCATATTGGTTTACTGTATTGAGGTATATTATAGAACAATAATTGTCTATTAGACGTATTAGAGTGATAATGGAGGGTGGAGATGAAGAGGTTCTGGGAGGTTACATTCCCGATATGTAAAATTCTTGCAATGAAGCAAAAAAGGCAATCCACATTAATTTTTAAAGTTTGTGTTTTTCACCAAAAAATGTTCCATAAAGTTAATATTCAATTTTTCAGCCCATTCCCCCAAATGGCAGAAGCTATTCAAGAAGAATTGGAACAGTATCGGTCCTCTGAAGAAGAAGTAAAAAGACTAAAAGCTTCAATGGTAAGTTTTCTCAGCAGATTACTATTTCAAAATGATAATTTAAGAACATTTTGTTTATAGTTTTTAAACTAAGTATTTCAAGTTTTTAAACAATATACTACTTTTGTTTTAAGTTTCTTAAATTTAAATTTTTTAAAGTTTTTATTCAGTTTTGGATTTAGAGGAAATATTAATATATTTTTTATTTTCTACCAATAAAATATGAGTACTAAAAACTAGCTTTGCCACCAAAGGAACCATTGTGAAATAATTATTTTTTAATATTTTTGTGATGGTTACAGGGTTTGGACAATGAGAGCGATGCGGCAATATCAATGATGTCTGACAACACGGCTAAACTGACATCAGCTGTCCAATCCCTACCACAGTTGCTGGAGAAGAAGCGACTGATAGACATGCATACGACTATAGCCACAGGTGGGCCTCCTATCTTGTCTGTAGCCTTGTTGTATTCTTGTGATATTTATATATTTCAAAGGTTTATTGCGGACATTTTCCATCACGAAAGTAAAAAAACAATACACAACGTTTCGGGATCTGGAATCTGATCCCGTCTTCAGGTGAAAAACTTAACTAACACATTACAACTAACAATACACAAACGCCCAACCTAAGTTGGAATACACTACCGAGGGTAGTAGTAAAAAAATGTGCACTGTATAGCAGTCAAGTCATGATACAACATGCAATTAATAACAAATCACAAAACACTATAATCTATAAAAGGTTTACGTACAAAAAACTCACACAATGGAACACTAACAACACCGTACGCTATGACTCCACCAATGAAACTGAACCAACATGGCTGACCAATCGGAAACACGGAGACAACAGAAATGGCTTCCGGTCCCTGGAAAAGTAAAACCAACAGAATGGCGGAGCGATGTACGATGCCGCAAGATGGGTGTTAATTATGTTTATTCCTATCACGAGTTTTACTACGAGTTAACATAACGTGCGAATTTTGAGGAGAACTCGTTATTTCCCTATTTATTGAACAATTAAGTTCCCTTTCCTTTAGTTCCTTGTTCAAAATGGGTAGCCAAAGTGGCCTTATTTCAACCGATGACTGACTGATTGGTTGATCTGCTAATTTAATGTATGAGGCTTCAATGAGTTTACGTTTGAAAAAATGAGGTTCCTTATGGACAATTTTTGCCTCTTCAAAATTCATACGATGATTTTCGGACCAGCAATGATGAGCGATCTTAGATTTTTCCACTAAACCTTTTTTGGTGTTTTCTCTGTGTTCTTTGATTCTAATGTTCAATGGTCTTTTTGTCTCGCCATAGTAAGGCCTGGAACAATCATTGCAATTTATTCTGTAAACACAGTTTTTAGTATCCTGAGTGTCATTTTTGGGTTTTGTTTTGACGAGACTCTGCCTAAGTGTGTTTTGTGTCCTAAATGCTGTTTGCACCTTAAATTTCCTAGCAACCCTTCTGATCTTTTCCGACAGTCCTGACACATACGGGATTGACATGTGGACGAGTTTTTCCTTACGATTTTGTAAAGGTTCACGCGTAGCCCTATCTTTCTTGCATTTGTTTATAATGGATCGAGGGTATCCGTTACTAGCCAAATCCTGTTCTACTTTCTTAATTTCATCCTTTAACTCATCCTGATTGGAGCAAATGCTCTTAGCCCTGTCAAACAGAGAGTAAGCAACCCCCTCCTTGACAGAAATTTGGTGGTTTGATTGAAAGTTTAGATACTGCCCTGTGTTTTTCACCTGAAGACGGGATCAGATTCCAGATCCCGAAACGTTGTGTATTGTTTTTTTTTACTTTCGTGATGGAAAATGTCCGCAATAAACCTTTGAACAACATTAACTCACCATCACCAACAATGAACTTCAAACAAAGAATTTATATATTTATGCACATTATAGTACCAGAGGGTAATTCTCATCTGGATTAGCTTTGTTCCGACTTGCATTGACGACACAATGGTTTGTAGATAGACACGTAAACAATGATGTCACAACCTGTTTGTTAAAAGCTGTTTGATATAAATTTAATTTATTTTTTCTACATTCCTGGATTATTTGCTAATCTTCACACATGGTGGTTTTGAGATTTTTCCGTAAAATTTTTATTGACTCCTAATGTTTTTGCCATTTGCCACGGAAACAACGCCAGTTTTGCTCGAGTCACCGTTTTGTACTTGGACAAGAGAGAAAGTCACAGACCTAAATTCCGTGAGCTAAAAATCCTAACGATTACAAGCCTGTACATCCTAGCTGTGGCTCCTCACGCAAGCAGGCTACAGCTCCAACGAGGTATGGATAGGCACAGCCATAACACCCGACAGGCTATGAATTACACACTTCCAGTCCATCATCTAACTCTTTTTGAAGAAAAGCCTTCCTACATGGGAGCGAAGTTCCTTAACCTGCTCCCAGAGACAATAAAAGGCCCCAGCATAAGCAGCACCAGACAACGCTTATTGGCTTGGCTTGTGGAGAGACCATTCTACACAGTTGAGGAGTTCATGAACTCGAGAACTTCACCGATGTTCCAGTGAGGACTAAACAACCCTCATAGTAATAACCATCACTACCGACAGCGCCTCAAAGCCCAACAACTTTATGCTATTTTATAATTAAATCTCTGTAATGTTTGACGCCTATTCTGTACTCTATGTTCAAGAATAAAGTATTCTGATTCTGATTCTGTACTCATACATTGTATTTTCCATCCCTCTTTTTTTTTACTAATTACTGTTTTTTTAGGATTTTCAATTCTTGTTTTTACTGATAGACTCTCTGTGTGGTTTATATTTTGAGCTTTGGGTTCTGTGTACTATCTCGTTATGTTTTTTTAACTCTCACCTGAGGATGGGATCCAAAAGTGAAAAACTTTTTACTGATCAAGATGGAAAATATCTGCAGTAGTAATCCTTGAAATAAATAACACAACTTCTGATGGATTCATCTTATTTATTTTTATTTAAGATAAGGATCCAGTTTTGAGGTGTTTAAATGCGAAAGAGTGCTGTATTGAAATTCGACTTTCATACCTTTTGTCAGTTCTACGATCCTGCATTACCGTATTCTTTAACTTGGGTTAATTGCAGGTATCCTGAATGCCATCAAGTCTCGCCGGCTGGACACACTGTTTGAGCTGGAGGAGAAGATCATGAGCAAGCAGTCCCTGGACCGCCCTCTCATGGAGATCCTGGCAGACCCGGAGACTGGGGCTCCTGATGACAAGATGAGGCTGTTCATCATCTACTATATCTGCACACACACCATGTCTGAGGTAGGTCAATCCACTCTGTCTTGTTGATTTTTTTACTTCCTTCTCTGAATCTTGGTATATGGATAAAGTATCGTGTATGTCAAAATTGATGAGTTTGAGTTTTGGATGGGCATGTCTGTTTAGGGCCCCCTTGAACCTAAAAACAGTGGTTTTTGAAATGATGTCTGTCTAAGTGTGGATGTGTACAGAGCTACCGACCACACCTGTAGTCCATTTTTTATGAAATTTGGCATCTGGGAATGGTAGTAACCCATGATATCTCTAGGATTTTTAAAATTTTGTTAAAATTCTGATTTTTAATCGTGATTTTTATATAAAAACCCATAAAATAACGGGAAAATCTAATTTTTACAAAAACAACCTGGACGATTTTGATTAAAATTTTAGTATGTTATAGGAACTTTCCTAAACAAATTATACAACTCCTACTGCTGTAAAAATTATTTTTTAAAGTTATTGTAATTTATGTGATTTCCCCATACCCTGACGGAAAAATCTCATTTTGAAAAATTACAGATTTTAACCAAAATTAAGTATGTTATTTACCCCATGCTGTAAAAACTACGGTTAAGAAATTATTGGAACTTTTGTGATTTTCTCCATAAAATATCATAGTTACTCCCACTGCTTATCCATGATTAAAGTTGTCGATTAGCCAATGGGAGAAAGTATGTCTCCTTTTGATTCCTTCTTCATCCAACACTTGGCACAAGTCTTGTCTTCTTGATTTTTTTCTTGAATTGTTCTGTGTTCTGTCACATTAAAACTGTGTGAAAAATCTTTGTTTCTAATAAAATTATGATATTTCATGAAAACGTCCTTTACTTATCATAAGACCATCTTTGACACTTGTCTTTCAGCACAGGTATTGAGGCAGCTTCCTGCTCTTTTAGTGAAACTGATTGTTTCGATTAAAAATAAATAATGCAACAACAGAAATACCTTGTGAACCAAGCCAAATTTTGTTATAAAGGTTTAAGGTTAAACAGATTATAGGTCATCATTGAGCTAAAAAAAGTTCATGCAACTCTATTTATTGGATAAAGTTTACACAGAGCAATTGAAATCTAGACATTAAAGGTCAAATTAGATTGTTACTAGTTATAGTGTTTGTCAAAACAATTTATTGAAAAACAGAGGGTAGTTGGTGTGCAAGTCAACACCGTACCTTAAGTTTACATCCTGATCAATTTTTATTTTAACACTTTTGAAAATTGAATTTCAGGTGGAGTACGATCGCTACTGCTCTGCTCTTGAAGCTGCTGGGTGCGACTTGCGACCTCTTACATACATCAAGCGTTGGAAGTGAGTCTCTAAGCTTTTGTATAAAGGAAAAGGGTAGGCTATAAAGTATACAATGTATCAATTTTAGGTTAGGTGGGTAAGTTTATCATCAAAATTGTCTTCTCAAAATATCCTTAAATGACAAGGTACAAGTTTCCAAGATTCTTAACAAAAAACTAAAGAAGATAAGTGAATCACTGTGTGCTCAAAAAACGTTAAAGAGTTTTAAATTAAAATATCTTCTTTGCAAAACTGCAGTTAATAACCAGACTACTCACTTGACAATATTCATCGCCGAAATGAATATTTCTAATCTTGAATACGCATTTAATATGCTTAACATAGAATATTATTTTACGATAATTGTATTGAAACGTTTGTTTGAAATCGATTGTGACTTTCAGGGCTTATGCTAAAATGGCTGCCAACCCTAACCAGTATGCTGGCGGAGGCACCAAGACTGTGAGCATGTTCTCCAAACTGGTGTCGCAGGGGTCGTCTTTTGTGATGGAGGGAGTCAAGAACTTGGTGGTCAAGAGACATGTAAGTGACAATAATTTTACCAAGCTGCATAGGAGTTTTTACTTATCACACAATAATTAAATAAAGATGGTTGACGTTTTCCTTTAGGTAAGAGGTTTTTAGTTTTTTAATTAATTAACTAACTAGCATGACTGATTACTCGATTATGCTAAAACAAGTTTGCATGATCTGATCCTTAACAACCATTGGTAGCTATTTTTTTATGGATCGGGAGTCAAACTCCTTGTATTGTTAGCAATATGATTTACCGAGCTGGGTTGGTGAATGGTTACAGTGTTCACTTCACAGTCAAAACGTCACCGGTTGGATCAAGAAATATAGTTGAGAAATGCTGCTCATTTTCTAGAAATAAATTATTGAGTTAATCACAAAAATCAGCTGTTGCCCGAGACAAAGTATTTTGCAAAAATTACTGAAATAAATTGAGATGAAAATTTAGCACACATGATAGCAAATTTCCCATATAGGGAATAAGCTATTATTACCGTAGGTCTCATGGTAAGACCAAGACCCGGGACCGATTTACTTTGTCGTTTTGAGGTCCCCAGAGGCCAAAAACACCATCCGTTCAAATTCATATATATGTATATATATATGTGTCTGTTAGCGCGATAACTCGAGCAAAATTGATCTGATTTTGATGAAATTTGGTACAAACGTGTAAACCTACGTTTGTTCTAACGAGGTCTCGTTTATTTGGACCATGGGAACAGGGGTTTAGGGGGGGTTTTATGGGGTAAAAATGGGGTTTTCCAACTTTTTACCCTAAAAACAAAAGATTTTGCAATTTCTTTCTAAACCATTTTGTAGAGCTTAAAAAGAAATAATTTAGTATATTGAAGCATGTTTTAAGCCTAACGGCCACGGAGAAAATGTTCAAAATTCAAAAATAGTGTAATATAAAATTCCCACGTTATTCTTATGGAGAAAATGAAAATTGTTGTAGTTTACTTGTTTATGGATATATATTGAAAACATTTGGCAAATTTATTTCTTTTATCCTTTACTATTGACGTAAGGTCAAAAAACACAACTTTTTACCTTCCTCGTAGCAGAAAACCTAAGCACTCGTTAAATCTAATGTTATTTAAATTGGGAATAAATATGTCTTATTTATGGAAATATTTTAGTCAAAATGAAATCAGACAAATTGAAATTTGCTTAGTCTGCAGGTTTGCTGAGGCGGGGGTATTTTATTTATTGCAACAAGATAAACCAAAACAACTTTTAAATTATAAAAGGTATAATGTTACCTGGATCTGCCAGAGTAATCCAAATGCTGTCTGTCGACTACGCGTTTCGAAGCAGTAGTAGCTTCATCATCAGGTCCTCAAGAACACTATCACTCATCAGAGGTCATCAAATAAATATAATTTTTACAAACATACATGGACGGAAAATGGTAGGCCTACGAACCGCGTGTATTTTCCGTCCATGTATGTTTGTAAAAATTATATTTATTTGACGACCTCTGATGAGTGATAGTGTTCTTGAGGACCTGATGATGAAGCTACTACTGCTTCAAAACGCGTAGTCGACAGACAGCATTTGGATTACTCTGGCAGATCCAAGTAACATTATACCTTTTATAATCTAAAAACAGTAATCCTGAGACAAGAAACAACATAAGTATATTTTTAAAGTCAAAACAAGCGTGAATTATAAATCATATTTCTATTTTGTAGAATACTTAACAGTAACTTTTTGATGGTTCAAGACTGGATCTGCCTGTCCTTTAAAATTCTGCATTTAAAAGATTTTAAGTAGTTCTTGCCAAAAAAACAGCTGATCTTCCTCAGTAACAATTTACAAAGCTCTAATTTCTTATTCAACACATCCTGCATTCTAACCAGCTTATGTACACAAACTATGTCAATTTCTTGATGAAATGCCTCCTCTGTTGGACAGAACCTGCCGGTGACCCGCATCGTAGATGAGTTGATGGAGATGCGCGGCGGAGATGATTACAGATACTTTGACCCCAAACAGCTGCGGTCAGCCGACGCGTCCCAGCTGCCCAAGAACAAGACTCCCTTCACTGAGGCCATTGTGTTCATGATCGGAGGAGGCAACTACATTGAGTACCAGAATCTCGTCGACTACACCAGGGTGAGCTGTCACTTTTGTTGAGTCTCGCTTTTGTTCAAATCCGTTTTGTTTAACTCTGAAAGATTTGTATAGTCACTAATAATTGGTATTCGCCTTATACCAATCAGCAATGCTTTGCCAGATTATCTTACAGATCTTGTTACAATACTTCCGTACTTTTTGTGCACAGATATATACAATGAATAACTCTTTTCACAAAGCTTGGATTAAATTCTGGCGCATGTTCCAGACAGTTTGGTGTAAGGGATTTGTTTGAATCAAAGATATCTTTTACAGATTTTGTTAAAAAAATACACATGTTCTGTGTGTGAGTCTCTCCTGACTAAATTAAGTCTTTTTCATTGTTTCTGTTTGGTTAGCTTGAATATGTCTGTTTATGTTCTAAACATTATCATAAGATCTTGGTAGATAAATAATTAATCTTTTTTGAGCGTTGATCACATTTTCATCACACACTGTATTTCTACGACCTCTTTCTCTGGTCCTTACTACTAACTTAAGTCTAAAGAAATTAAAAAAAAATTCAATAGAAAGCGATGGTTTTTTTATTCAATTGAGAGATCAGGTACTACATAGTCTGGCATTTCGTATATCTGTTAATTCCTTTTCACTTGTCCAATCTTCCTGTTTAGTCTCATGAGAAGTGAGGGGTGTAGTCAATGCGTTGGTGTTCGTGTCTGTTGTACAACCTGCAGGTTGAAATCGATTCGTAGAGGTGGACGTCTATTAACCTGCTTCCAAATCTAACAACAGCTCAACCCCACACATATACTCACCACACCCACCGCACCCACACACAACACCACAAATTCACCAATCATTGTTAGGCCTCAAAAACGCTTGACCAACTAACTAAGAATTTTTGATGTTGGCTGTATATCTTTCAAAAAACTGAGTTGTCTCTATGGATACACAGTTCTTTGTTGTTTAAATTGTTCTAGAGATTTAATTTAACTACTACAACCTTTGGGAAAGTCAATGTAACTTCTGTACATATTTCACAGTAATGACTCACTTGACTTGGTGAAGTGAGGGGATTTAAAAAAAAAATACTGGAATTTGTTGGATATGGAATAAGTTATTTGTTTAGTTTAGTTTTTTATGTGTTGTTTCACAAAAAGTTATAACACATATTCCAATCCAGCTTTAAAAGTAGGCTATGCTTTTTTTAGGGTAAAATAAGTACGTTTGTAATAATCATCCATGACAAACAACAGTGGGTTATTGATGTCAAGGACATTGTAATAAAAACTCTGTATGTATATATTGTTTAAAGTTATTCTTATGATATCGTGTGTTGTGTTGAAAGTTTTCATCTGCATCTGCAAGTAGCCGAATCATCATATAATCAAAAAAGGTGCGTTTTACTCTAACTTCAGCAACAACTGCGTTCTACGCTGTTAAGCTAAAGAACGCAGCACGATTAAGTATCGGCATGGTTGATGTAGGAGACAATGCAAAGGGGTTTTCCTGGAAATATGCCAATGCGTTGCGTGACTAGCATATTTGCGGTTCCCCCATTAGCATTCTGCTATGAATCGATGAAAGATGTTTCTCGCTTTCATGTTGATGGTCGAAGAAGACAAAGCCTCTACTGAACAACAGGCAAAAATTTAAAATCTAGAAACTATGAGAGTACTTTTAGCGCTATTCTTATTATTAATATGAACCCGATAAACGATGAAGTAAAATTAGGAATACTTTGTCTTCAGGTTAACTAAAAATCAGTTTCCCTGTTTTGTCGACTTGGTGTGTAGCAACATAACTTTGCAGCAGCAACAACAATCAGAATGGAACAGAACTTCAAACTCAGACACACCGTCAATTAATGAACTGTCGTAATCATCAGTGAACTAAAGCTGCGTTTTCCTAGCAATGCGATTAAGCCTCATGTTAGCAAACTTTCCTATAAGGAAGAAGTAGAACCTTTTAATATTTTTACCCTTTTTTCAAAAAGTCCATAAATGACTATGTATTACAATATTACTGAATTAAACAAAGAAATCATTGAAAAACTTGAATTTTTTCCTTATGTGTTTTTTATGCCATTAGAATTATTTATGCTTTTGGTAAAGTAACAGTTTGTATCTAGATCTAGTGATATTCATCATTCTTGCCTTTCTTGTAAGAAGAAATCAGGCCGTGGTACATACTTTAATACAGTTATTAGATTTGATTAGTTTTACTTTTATTTTAGAGCAAAGCAGGAATGGCTGGAGCCCCTGGTAGCAAGAGAGTGATCTACGGAGCTTCCACCCTCAATAATGCCAAGGAGTTTATTAAACAGGTTTGTTACTAAACGTTACTGTATTCTTTAACACGGCAACACCCCGAGGATATTTTGTGGTCACATCAACACCGGTATCATCTCCTGCGATCGCGGTATATCCCGTGAGGATATCTTGCGGTATCGGTGATGCCAGCAATTGTCTCCCAAGATATCGGTAACACCTGTAAGCATGTCTTGAATCGCATCCCGCAACCACGGCAATACCTGTGGGACATGAGCTTGTCTTGCAGTCTTGGTGACTCCGGGATTTGTCACATTTTATTGTCTCGGTGATAGCAATCATCGTCTGCTGTGATTATGGCAACACCCGGGCATTTTGTTAACCTAAAATGCGCTTGGCAGTATCACCTAAGAAAGGAAACAAGTAGATGGTCAGACACTAGGTCGGATTTCCCGAGGAGTCGGTTATGCCGAGGTCAGATATGAGGGATCCTACTGAATATAACACTTTCTTAGCTGTCTAATACACATTTCCTATGTTAGTGAATGTAAGAGTCTCGATTACTTGACCTTCAATAATCCAACTATCTGTGAACGATCTAGTACGATAAAATCGTGTGCCAGTTCCATGCTTTTTTTAATGTTATGTAAAAAAATAACAATTCTGATCATGCTTTTGATGGCAAACTTACATTAAGAATAAAGAAAACAAAGAATTTTAATATATAATAAGTATTCAAGTATTAAGAATTGAATGGATTCAAGAACGGAGAAACCTGATTGATTTAATGATTTTTTAACAAATTTACAATAGTGTGTGTTTTATTTTCTGAGTTATCTGACCTTTTCACTTACCTCACCATACCTTTGCCAATTAGTTTGGGTAATTCTTAACTATATACAAGATGATATTTATCTCATTTTTCCGCAGCTTTCCCTGTTGGGCCAAGAGTTGCACTGAAGAAGAGAGGAAGAAGAGACTGAGGAGTCTCGACCAATCACAGCGCAGCAACATTCCCGCACTAGACCTCCTCAATTTTGTTGTTGTTGACCATAATATTTTATTGTATATATTTATTCATGTTTAATAAACTGGTATTTAATTAATAATATTCAAATCTCATTTATGAGGCGGAACCATCTGTACCCATTTAACAATTGTCTGGGGTTACCTGTACAAGTTATAGTGCTTGCCTTCAAACCTGAAGGTTGATGGTTCAAGCCCTAGCATTCTGTACCCAGATGCAAAGGTCATTGTGCTTTCTGTTTAATGAAGCCATCTGTAGATAGTAACAAGACTAGGATATGGATCGTTCCCTTTAAAAATCACAAAAAAATGCCAATAAGGTTCAAAAGAAATAAATTAAAATAATGTTGGGAACATAAATGGGTAGATATTAACTCAGAATAGAATAATGGATGGGAATATGATGAAACGAGAGGCCTAAGTAGCTCCTTATTACTGATTTTTATGACAAACTGTTTATTTAGTTATTTATTTGGTTTTTTATTTATTCAAAGCCCCATGATAAAGACTGATAGGCCTTTTTCTTAAACTTACACTCCACCAAAAATCATAAAAATCAACATTTATAAATTATGTAACTAAAAAAAAGAAAGGGAAATGTGAGTAATAACCTAATATCAGACTGGAATGTCGGGAATTGTATTTATACAAAAATAAATAATAAAAGCCATTATGTTTATAACAGAAATAAATTTATTGAAACATAATAATGTGCTACTGAATAAAAGTTCAGATAAAAGTTTAGCAAGCTTTTTTACAAGAACAACAAATAACCAATGCGTTTAAAGCTATAACTGTGACACTCTTAATTTGAATACTAGCAACAAATGCCCGACAGATCACAAACAAGTTTTACATCCCTCTACAAAAATATTTAGTTGCGAAGACTTAGGATTAAACAAACCAAATTTGTTGTATCATCCATTAAGTCAGTCTAAGTGAATAAAGTGTGTACGTCACAAGTAAAATTCATGATCATCAGAAGAAGAGAATATGGGCTATACCCCAAAACATATTAGGACTTAAAGTAAACTTACTGCTATCTGTTGCAAATTCAAATATCATTTGAATCCGAAGGAACATACAGGCATTCACTTTAAACTGAAGAAAAAAAATTTCAATCCTAAAAAACAATTTTTTTAAAAGTAGAATTTTAATTTGTGAACAAATACCACACATAAAAAGCTTATTTCCATACAATTGGATGGCATTATTTGTTTTTAGAAACTTTATTCAAAACTTTGCCTTGTTTTGTTGTTAATTTTTACAAATAAACCAACACTGTACTTTTCAGAATAGAAATTAGAAGGAAAATAATTTACATAAGGAACTATTAGCAATTAATTGTTACCTAAGAGAATATTGTGGACTTTTCCCATCATGATTGGTAAACAGAGTGATCTTTACCAAGTGTTAGAAGTGTTAGAGAATTTTTAACAATAGTTATTAGTGGGAGAAAATGTTCGCAATATTCTTTTAGATAATGTAAACTCATCATCAATAATTATCTAAAAAAAAAATATTGGTAATCATTTTTGTTCTAATAAAAATCTATTAAATTAAATTAACCCTTCCTGGATGGGTGACGGATATATCCGCTAAGTCTTTGGTGATAAAGGACGGGAAGCGGATATCCGCCTTCTCTTCAGAAAGACTGGCAGGTGCTTGAGCAGTAACCAGATGTTTCGCGGTACCAAGGCACCACTTTCCTGTTCTCTCAATGGCTGCGCTCTCTCCCACACTCCCCCCCCCCTCCCGCTCCCGCGCACCTCTCCTAAGATCCCCCCTCGACGTTTCGCGTTCAACACTACATTGTCTTTATTTATTGTTTACATATTGTCCTTTATTTATTGCCTAACGTTGTCATGGTCATATTTTCAAAGACGGGTGGCGGTTATATCCGCTGCTTTTCTACTCATCCGCGGACGGGTAGCGGATATATCCGTATAGTTAAAAATTAGTAAGAAATTATTTTGACAGTATGAATTCTGAATTGTTCCATTGTGTTTATTTTATGTATACTTGTAAAACTAAACACAAATAAAGAAAATTAATTTTAATTTTTTCCTATAATTTTTTCCTGTTCTATGTCACTATTTTGCCCGTCCGGGAAGGGTTAAATCAACAATTTTAATAAAAAAGTGTATGCAAAAATATCTACCATAACTGTCTATGCTTTTATCATTCATGTAAAAAAATTTAGAGAACTCTATGTGACAAAGGTCAAGTCTTGCATTATTATCGATTAGTTACATAAATACACTGGCTTTACATATTTATCAAAGTTAACAGTTTATAACAAATATAATTCACCGGTTTAGCACATTTTCCAAAAATAATATGAAATCATGGAGAATTATCACAATTAAGGAATCTAAAATTATTATAAGGCACTTGAAATGCACCAAGTAAACAAATTTAAGTTTATAATAATAATATTAAATATTCTTTACAACCACTTAATATAATATACCCTTAGTATTGGAAACCTTTTTGAGAATTGTTTAAGAAAATAATATTTTGCAATGAAGGGTAACTCAAATATAATAATGAAAACTATATTTAGACCATTCTAAGTTTGTATAAACCACTTATAATGAGAAAGCAATTAAGACTAAGATATGTGTCTAGTTCTTTCCATAGTAATCCATATGGCCTACTTCCATTTACACTTTATCTAATAAAATAAAATAATTATTAGGCCTATCTATTTTGAAGTTTACCATGTTGAAAATCTTGTACTGTAATGAACACTTTCTTTTCTTGTGTGTAGCCATGACTCTATTGTATAGCAAAAACTATTTGTAGGAGAAAAAAAATTTGACGGTTTGATTTACATATTCAATTTGAACTTTGATGTAGGCCTATTTGTTATTAAATAAAGGTTAGGTACCTTAACCTAACTCAATCACTGAAAACCGTAAATACACACAATATTTGATCTCTTCTTTTAATATTATGTAGTTTGTTCAATATATTTGGTTTTTTTCCTCAACTCTGTCCTTTGAAATCTTTTTGCAAACTAAATTGGAGATTTGTCTTAAAATTAAAATAAATTTTTTTTAAAGCAACCTGCACAGCCAGCTCTCGTCTGCCAATGCCCTAACGTAATAAAATTTAAAAGATTACATTTTTTTAAATGTACAGTAGAACGTCGATTATCCGAATTAATTGGGGATTGGGGTTGTTCAGATAACTGATTTTTCGGATAATTGGTCATTGACGGGAAAAATACGGGGAACGGGAAATTACGTGAAGGGATAGCGGCCGGCGGCGATTTGCCGATTTCGCGTCCGTGGATACTGTACAATAATATAAATTTGATTAATTATAGAGATGTGCGAGTAATTGAGATTTCAAATTCGAGTCGAGTACGGCCTTGAAACTCGAGCTTATTTTTTAACTCGGCAGTTTCGAGTCGATTTTGGTTTAAATTAGTAAAAAATCAATATTTGTTAAAATGTAACTTGTGTTTACGTGAAATACTGGATATATTTACTACTGTAGATTCTACAGTAATACAAATATTAATATTTTTACATTGTAGAAATAAGCAAGAGGTAGTTGTCCTAACCTATTTTTTTAGCTGCTACAACAGAATAGGTCAACTCAAAGCAGTCGCCGGCGACTGACTAGTGACTGGCAATGAAAAACAATAGAAGGGAGGGAGGGGTTGTGCAATGACCTCGAAGTGAGCGGGTGTAACACTGAATGAAGTAGGGGTTTGGGGGGAAGGGGGAGGGGCAGACCTTTGAGCTATATTTAGACTTTCACCACTTAGCAGCCGTGCGGGTTGCGGTGGCGTAGCGCTACGGCCAGTCGTGATTGGCGCGCGATTTTATTGATTTTTGCTTCTTTCTTCCTTTCGGTTAACCGACGTTTCGGATGACCGGGCTTCGGATAATCGACGTTCTACTGTATTTAAATTCCTGCAGTGTTACCTTTGAACAGTTGCAACACTTCAAACTTCTGTGTGGAATAAACATTATTAGCCTATTAATTTATTCAAGGACACATCTTGCTAGAATTTGTGGTAACAAGTGACAACTAGCTTGTCAAACTACAACTGTACACTGTAGACGTGTATTATGTCCTGGCTCCCATGTTAAACTCCTGCTGCAGACGGTCGGCTACCATCTTGGCTATGGCCAGAGAGCTGGTCGCACCAGGGCTAGGGGCGTTGCGCACGTGCAAAATACGGCCACTCACACTGAACACAAAGTCTTCGATCAGCGAGCCATCTGAGCCGACTGCTTGCGCTCGTACTCCGGCTGGGCCCCTGTGTGACAAAGCAGTTGTAAGAGTAAGGATCGTAAAAATAATATCACTGATTGTGTGATACATTAGGGCCATAGACGTTAGAATAAGAAATTATAAAGTGTATCTTATTTATTCTTTTGATCCCCAGAGGCTGAAATATATTCCATAAAGATTTAAAAAACCGTTCTTCTACATGGGACTGTCTATGGGAATATAAATTAACTAAAGAGGCTGACAGCTACAGCTGACATGTGCTTCAGCCCAGGAGTCAAGTTACACTTGAACCTTGCCGATCTGAACTCGGTTGTCCGACTCCTCGCTTAATCCGAGCGTGCCATCGCCTATGAGCAACAATGGTATTAAAGTAACATTATCGTGACCTTTCCTATCGTCCTGTGTCCTGCAATTGTGGCAAAAATGTTGCACGTCCCCACAGTCACCGAAACATCTTCATTGTTTTCTGTGTTCACAGAAAATCCCTAATATCTTCTACGTTGACGGAAACGCCACCGTCTTCAACGATTGCGGCTCATGCTCGGATGATTCGACCTTTCAACATCTGGTTCCGACAATGGTCCTGGTCTTGTAGTTCACAGATTAGCGAGGTTGTACTATAGTTGAACTATTACAATCGGGTATTCTGTTGACCAGTGTCATTACATAGCTTGGGATAGACCTCGGCCAACATAGTCAGTGCTGGAATGGGGTTTTTCAAATGAATTTTTTATTTAACAATTAATAGGCCAATAAAAAACAATAATGATAACTAAAGCCAAACAACACAATTTAACAGGTACCTCATGATATCTGCAGATGTAATCTCAGGAATGAACTTCTGCAGTGACTTTGCCTGGAGCCCGATGAAAATAGATTTGATGATTTCTGAACTGCCAAAGCCAATGTATTTGACAGCCAGTTTACGCAGCCCTGGGTGTTTAAGAGCCATCCACAGCTCTTTAACATCAATATCACCCCACCTGACAAAAAAACAACACTGTTTAAGAGCTCTCATTCAATAACTAATCAATAAACAACAAAACAAGTTTTAGTGTTAAATTTAATCCATCTATGCTACATATACAGGGGGCGAAATGTCCCTACCCGTTGGTGGAGTAAATAAATCAAGTGTTAAGTACAGTGGTATGAAATACATTCATTCATTCTTCTCATATGAAATATAGTGGGTGAAAATAGAGAAGTCTGTCACATTATTTTTGGTTGAGTTTTCAACCACTGGACGACCTTTAGTACCTACATATTTATCTGATCAAGACATTTCTGAAAATTTTGGGTTTTTTACAAAACAACACAATAAAAACAAAGAGTTAAGTAGAAAAAATAACATATATCTTGTTTAACATATGAACTCTTGTCTCAAAAAATATAGATAAGTAAAACAAGTTAACAGTTAATTACCTTTTTGGTTTTTCTTGCCTTGAAGTTCTTGTTGGTTTTTGATACCTGATGCGCATTTCGCCACAGGTTACAGTAACTGGGTTATATCATAAAATATAAGTTAACAGTGTTTTAATACAAGAAACAATTTTATAACATTTTTTTATGAAATGCAGAGATTAAGCAATACCTGTATCCTTCTCTTTTAAATGCAAGGAGAGCATTTGGGCCTAGCCAAATAGATCCGTCCATTCTGGGCGTAAAATGAACTCCTAGGAAAGGGAACCTTGGGTCTGGGACCTGTAAAACAGTTTGATTTGAAGTAACAAAATTACACTGTGGCCTAATCATTATGAGAATCTACTTTTGAGTAACCAATAGTATAGACCTTTGACTATTGATAAAACTAGACATTCAATCCCCATGTTGTCACCAGTTTTTAATCAAAATTGTCATAGTTGATGTGAGCCACCGACAGATAGCGCTGATCTAAATTGCTAAATTATGTTGAATACACAAACTTTTTTAGCAGGTTAAACTAATGCAATAATTTATTGTGAGCTACTTGGTCAACAAAAACAAATTGTGTAGAAAATAGAATATTAAACACTAGCGCATATTGTTACTAGCTCACAAAACCATGGTGGAAGGACTTCCACCATGTTACAAAACTATGCCCTTTTCTAATAAAAAATCAGTGACAGCTGGTCCATATAGATGGGATATGTAATTCAGTAACCAATATTCAATGTTATAATGTTGAGTTTAGAAACAATCACTACTATATTTTTTTGTTCATCTACAAAAATGATTACATAAAAATTGGGATGAGAATATTACTAACTCTAACCCAAGCACTTGATTCAATACACAGTGCTTCGCAAAAATGCAAATAGCCTTCAAATTCATATACTCTTTCTTATATGTTGTTATCTGTTTACAAAACAATAGATCTGACTGAACCCAAAAAATTGAGGGAAGTCACATTGTTGATAAAACCACTGCTTGTACAAAACTAGAGTGTGTTTGATAAATTGACAGGTTGGGTATCCCAGCAATGAGCCAATCTAATATGCACTATTTTATGTTGGAAACTTTTCCTTTTTGCCGTTAAGCAGTATTACCCTACAGCTACCTAAGTGTGCGTTGATATACATGATATACATACTTGAAACCATAAAGTATGTGGATGAAATAAACCCCCCAAAAAAACCAAGACCTGCACCACTAAAACACCCGTCATGGCTCCAAATTTGCCCTACCAGTTTACCGAGCAACTCTTTGGGGAAAAAACCCTTCCTACACCGGCTGCAAACTGAGGAACCATCTACCTGACTACCTGAGAGACCTGAGTGGCAACAAGCTACACCAGGAGTTGAAGAAGTGGCTAATCACAAGACCCTTCTACTTAATAAAGGAATTTTATGAAAACTATGGAAATTAACACGTAAAATTCACTATTGTATTGACACTATTGTAATTCTTAACGAATGAACAATAAAGAATATTGTATTGTATTCTATGGAACACTGCCCAACAGGGTTTCCACCCGTCCCCTTCAGACCCTTTTGCCCGTGTTTATGTCTGTGTTGATCTCGTCCCTATTTGCCCTATAGGCAGCTACCCTGCTGCCCAAGTCCCTAGTTACTAACAAAAAGAAAGCAAATTCTTTCCACATCGACAGGCAACACTAGTACAGATGCAGCATTAAAAGCATGTTAGAGCTCACCAAAAATAAAAGCATGGACCAGTTTGAAAGGAACAGCCAGGTTGGTCAACATATCCTAGTATAATCAGCAATAGTACTTTACACAAGTTGTTTACAAACAGATAATCCAGATGCAAGGTAATCAAGGACGTTTTTATGATAGCTATGTCATTTCACAACTTTTTAGTTTTACTTAAGTATAGCACTAAGTACAAAAGTGAGTTTTCTACAATCAGCAATATCTGGACCGTTAATATTAATCCCCCTGCAGACAAGGCAATTAAAGGCAGTGCCATTAATAACCTCAACCAAAGTGGCTGCACCTGATTTGTGTTTTCCCACTGAACGGGCTGGTAAATTTATCAAAATACTGGTGGCCACGAGAAGCTAACATGATTGTAGGCCTATATGGTGTACATCCACGTCCACTAACCTAATCACTATAAACACCACGGCTATAAACTGCTGTTGTAAAAAACTGACTAACAGCCCCTAGACAGTTCAATGTCCCCCACTTGTTGTTCTGTGTGCAAGGCTTCCAGCCAACTCCCAACCAGAACAACTGGCGGTCATCACTGACTTTTACTAACTGCCCTGTCTGCAGGAAGCTATAGCGGTAGCTTCATAGTAATCTGACATATACTTAAAATTCAGTTTAAACTGTCCAATTCCACAAGCCCCGCATTGTGCATTTCCCAGAATGCCAAACAACATATAGACTTACTGGATAAATGTTTCCTTTAACCATGTGCTGTTTTTCTGGGTTTAGTAGAAGATACTCGCCTCTGAAAGGGACGATGCGGGGTTCTGGGTCAGCTCCGGACATCGACGCCAAGATGTCAGAATAGAGACCTCCACAGGTCAGTACGTACGATGCCCTCACACTCTGTAAGCACAAGTATTGTACGGTATAGATAAATGAGACGGAGTTCCTTGAAGTTAAAAATAGAATTTGGAATGAAGAGATCAGAATACTGGAAGGAGCCTAGGGGACAGTAGGAATAGCTAAACTAAGATTGTTTGGACATGTGAGAAGTAAGATATGCAAAAATAGAAAATTTATTAGAATATCTTATTTTTCATTATTGCCGTACCAATTGAGATAGGGTCACCATGTAAGTGATGATGATAGAGGGAAGAAGAAAAAGAGGAAGTCTCAAAAGTTGGTACATAAATGAGATGAAGAGGAATGTGGGGAAAACAAAAGTTAATGTCCAGATCCCCATAATAAAAAAAAAAACCTTTTATACATGTTTAAAGTGTATGGAAACGTTTTGTTGAGTGTAAACTTAATAAACTAAATACTGTACTGTAGAGGATTGGTAATGATTAGTTACCAGAACAAACATTCTTAGAAATAATAGTCACAGCTATAAAGTCATCTAACATAAGTGATTGATTTGTGGCAGAACGGCATTCTACGATCTCTCTTTTGAAAAGATAAAAATATTGGCATAAATAAGTACTAATCACAATAAATAGGTTACAGTTCCGGCATCTCATTTTTTACAAATCAAAGCACTGTCCAACATAATAGACTAACTTGTACTATTGCACATTCTCTTAGCCAACCTTTGCTAATTTTGATATTGTTACCTTGTTACCTATCATGAAAGCACTTCACTATGACAGCGATTGCAAGCTTTGTTAAACGGACTTAAACAGCTGATTAATTTGCTAGGACCATTTATAAAAAGCCCCATGACAGCCAGGTTTAATAATTTTGCCCTATTTCGAATTTACTGGTTTGATTAGGAACTACTATTCGAGCAACGCAATCACTCAGCTTCCCAGCTAGTTTCAGTCTAAAGTATGTTCCATATTGTTAAATTCATGCTGTATACTTATAGGGCCTATATTCACATTACCTTATCATTGCTTGTAATTCTAACAGGATATCTTGACACATCTTTGTCAACGCCACTACCTTCTGCAGCTGTATTAAACCCACTGACTTTGAAATCAAGGTAGATCTTGCCTCCTTTTTCAGTGAATTCCTTTCCATAAAACCTGGCGACTTCAGCCCAATCTACGATGCCAGTGTGGGGAGAATGTATTGCTTTGACCCCCTGAAAAAGAAGAATTAGGCTTAACTTTGGGTTATTTAAAACACTCTAAAATGTTATATTTAAATAAACTTTCAGTTCTTTCACCACGATTTTAAATTACAGTCAGTATTAGCAAAAGAACAAGTTCAATATATATTTTATGACAATTTCTTTTACCTACCTCTAAAATTACAGCTGCCGTTCTTATTCCGTAGTGATAGGAATTGAATGGCACGCTTTATCGATAGACATTCAAAACACTTCACAAAAAAACACAAAATGATACGGTACTTAGACAGATGATCTCAAAGTTGACTTGAGTCATTAATCATTAATAAAATCAATGAGATGGGTATAAAGTAAATGTTAGCTCCCTAACTTAAATGTCTGAATTCTTTGTCGATAAATTAAATAGTTTCAAAATGTAAAAGCCATATCCTCCAGCTGTTGGAGCAAACTGGCACTATTACTATATCAAGACAGCTGAGAGTTTAGTCATAAGAGGAAACAAACCAGAGGTAGATAAGAAACTTACTTTACAGAAAGGTTCATAATCCTTGATCTCATCCCCATCTATCACCCGAATGTCAGGTACTTCATTCTGCGTTCCTCTATCGTATAAATCCATCAACCTCTCCACCTCCAGCTGATTAGTTGCTACAATCAACTTGCCGACCTTCTTGTAGGGAATGTTGTTTGCATCGCAAAATTTGTAGGTTAGCTTTAACCCTTCAACACATAGTTTGGCTCTGAGAGAACCTGGCTTGTAATATATTCCTGCATGAATGACACCACTGTTGTTTCCTGTTTGGTGCGCAGCTAGTCTAGGTTCCTTCTCTAGAACGGCTATCGTCAAGTTCGGGTGCCGAAGTTTCAACTCTCTCGCTGAAGCCATTCCAACTATCCCTCCACCCACCACAACAACGTCGTAGCATTCTTCGTTGCTACTAAAATTAAAACCAAAAACAGTCTAATAAGAGACAGTTGAATTTTTAAGATTAAATGTTGTTTAATGTAGCCTAATAATATAGGTACTTTTACTCAGTTTCTGTTACAGTATAAGTTATATCTAAGGCCTACCTGTTCCATGCAAACATACTATTTTGGATAGCCTACATGGTACCGTACGTTAAGTCACTGTTAACGTGATAAATGGCTGCATCTGTGCTAAAATGGTTGGGATAGGCCCTTCAACTATTGTAAGCCCACGAATACATTTTTCTAGTGGGTAAGCCTATTCAACAACCTACGTAATGAAATTGTCTCACTCCATTAGACTGTTACCAAATATGCTCATGTTCATGTTCATTTACGTTCCAAAATCTGTTGGAAAAAAATAAATAAAATCATCAATGTGTTGAAGTGATTTCGTCATGGAAAATTAAATTATACTGTTGCCATACATATCTTAACCTAAAAAAACGAACATAACCTATTATCTTTTTTGCTCTTATTTATAAATATTCCTTACTAAGTTATATTAAACTATCATATTACTTAGGATAAATGACTGGTTTTTTGCATAATTTTAAAGAATAAATTAACATATTTTATGGTCATTCTAAAAATCATAAATCTTACGTAAGGTCTAGCATAAGCTATCGAAATAAAAATAAAACATCGAATCGACATTCAAGGATAGTAACATGATAGTAAAATAGCAAAGCAACACTAACTGCTAGTCTTACTTTGAATTTGATAGTTTTCTCGAGGATATTCCAAGTGTACTAACAGATTTATTTAGAAATCCTTCACTCTTCAAGTAAAGTTTTGACACCTTCCTTAGTGCAGACGACATCAGTTCAAGACAAGAATAAACTTTATAAAATTAAAACAACATAGAGTACAAACACCACTAAACACGCTTATCACCACAATAAAATCACGAAGTCTTGGATTAAATCATGTGATTCATACTCAATCATCTTAGATTACACAAAGTTGAGAGACTGAGGAAGCTTGAAGTTTGAGGAAATGTTTGGTGTTAAATGACCTTGTGAATGCACATTGACCTTGTTAACTTAAGATCTCTAAATTTAACAGACGTAATTACATGGACAGCCTTATCAGTGACTATTTAATGTAGGGCAAACTCATCTTGAAGCTCTTACTGATAACACTAATGAGACATTAGAACGTCAGTCACCAATTGAACCAAATTGCAGAATAAGCCAATTTAAAAAAGTATTTACTAATGCAATATTTATGAGGGAAATAAAAATTATTACAATTTTGAATAGGTGGTTAATACAATATTACTCATATTACTAACAATGTCAATAATAAAGACAAAACTATTGTAAAAATAAGATTATAAAAACTAAATACAAATGTTAATCTTAAGTTATACTAGTACTTAAGTTATTAATTAATAATTTTAACATTTCTTTTAAATTCATTAACACAAGTACTTTTTCTCCGAATTGATGTTTCTTTTATGTCTTGCACACTTCGATATACAGTTTTACACTTACACATTAGCCAACAGGATAAATTATATTACAGTAGGTACCTATTACAGTACTCAAATTAGTTTCCGTTTTGTAAATTTATCTGGACACTGGACATATCACAATTTAGTCTACTGTTCTGTGGATTTTCTTTTAAACTTATTGGATGTTTAAAAAACATTCAGTGTTATGGTCATAACTCATTAAAAGTTGTAATTTTAAATACATGTATATCGTAAATCGATTAAATTGTTAAAAACATTAATTTGTCAGTTGAATATAAACCATCCAATAATTAACTATAGGATAATCTTACAGATGAAGAGTAATTTTGAAAGTATAACAATAAAGTAAAATACAATTTAAAAATATTAATTAATAATGATGCTATCTAACAAATACGCCCGGCGCAGCAAACCTCCTACTAAGCGAATTTCCATTTGTCTGAATTAATTTTTAATTAAATCTATAAATAACATTAGGTTTAACGAGTACCTAGTTTGCTGCTACAAGTAAACCGTTAAAATTATTGTTAAGTCATTTCAGTTTAACTGATAAATCTTCAAAAGCTATGAGAAAAATGATTTTTTTTTAAAAGACATTGCAATAAAAACATTCGGGAAAATGTAAAAATTTCACTAAAATTTCTTTAATTATATATACTAGAATTGTATTGGCAGTTGGCACCAAGCTAAATTAAACTTAGTTTAAAGTGGATAGGAGTACAAAGCCAAGTAACGAAGTGTCATTTCATGTGCTCCCTGCAAAAAGAATATTTTGCTAGTAAAAACACAATTCAATAATTAATTCAAATTTCAAAGTTTCCATTATTCACTAATAACAAGTTAAGTCAAGATAGTTTACATTCGCCCGCTATTTTATGATGCGACAAGCAGTACTTTTACGTAGAACTGGATGGTGTCCGATTATTTGCAGGCGCCAGCTATAATCATAAATTCTATTGACTATTGACAAAAATGAAGTCAAACAAATTGAAAATAAATGAAAATGTTATAATACTTGGATACGAATTTAAACCACCCGAATGATGCACGAATGATGATACCTAACCAGCCAATTTTTACTCAGCAAAGACATGAATTTATTTGTTACATCATTGGAATGTTTTGTATTAATACTCTGAGGTATAACAAGGGAGTATGTTTAACCCCTATACAATGGAGTATGTTAATTTTATGGTATAACCGAATAGTTTTCCCTTAAAAGATGTCTGTAGCTCATCAAAAAGTAGCCTTAAAGAAAATTTTCAAGTAAAAAAATAGTATTGCAATTAATTACATTCTAAAACAATCATAAAACACAAGGCGATCTAAAGAGAAATTTAAGTTTGCCGACATATTGGAAAATAGCGCTCATTTTTGAAAATGTTTGATTCATAATTTTTAATACCATAAAAAATAGTTGCATTTCTCCATTCAATGTTTCTCTAAATATAATAGTTTCTGAGATATCAGTGGTAACATAGTTATTAGTTATTCACTTTGCATATCACACATAGCGTTTCATCCAGCAATAGTTTTCCCCCAATAAAAGATAAATACTGTAATAACAGAACCCACATAAGGGGCTTTCAACACTAGCCTATTTTGAAAATTTCACTCAATATTCATACCCTCCCACTTTTATTTAACGAAACCCTCATCAATTTTAGCCCTAACGCCTGTGTAAATAGATAGTTGAGGTTGTTGAATTATAGGGTTAAGCCCCTCTAACGAACAGATGGCTGGTTACCCTTCCCTCAACTATTAGTGGGATATTGTCCTAGGCCTGTTTACCTTTCATTGGACAATATATGGGACCCGCTTGTATCAAGTGTCAGTTAAAAAGCTATCGAGTTTATATTTTACTATCCAATATGCTGCGCTGAAGGGGCAGAAAATAATCTCGATAAGAATTTTCTAAGTAGAATGGTAGTGCTCACCTTCAAACCTGAAGGTTACTAGTTCGATCCCAAGAATTCTGAACCTATTTGCAATTTTAGCGAATTTCCCTATAGGGAAGTAGCTATTACCGTAGGTCTCATGGTAAGACTTAGGCCCGGGACCGATTTACTTTTTCATTTTGATGTCCCCAGAGGCCATAAACACCACTCGTTCAAATTTATATATATATATATATATATGTGTGTGTGTCCGTGAACACGATAACTTGAGTAATTTTTATCCGATTTTGATGAAATTTGGTTTGAAGGTGTAAGGCGGGATAAACTTGAATGAGTTCGCGATCCAGCATGATCGGACCATGGGAACACGGTTTTATGGGGTAAAAATTGGGTTTTCTCACTTTTGACCCTCAAAACACAAAATTTCCCAATTTTTCTCTAAATCTTCATAAAGAGCTTAAAAAAACAAACAATTCAGTATATCAAAGTGTTTTTGTACGGTTATTGGTTACGTAGAAAACTAAAAAAAATGGTAAATTTAAAATTCCCATGTTATTCTTATGGAGAATATTGTAAAATGTTGTAGTTTTGCTTGTTTATGGATATCTTTTGATCAAACTCGGCAAATATATTCATTTTCTACTAAGCAATAATTATTTTACTTAAAACACACACTTTATTAGTTTCCTTGTAGCAGCAAACCTAGGTACTCGTTAAACCTAATGTTATTTAAATAGATCAATTGAAAATCAATTCAGCCAAATGGAAATTCGCTTAGGCGTCAGGTTTGCTGCGGCGGGGGTATTTAATGTCTACCCAGGATGTTTAGATTCTTTTGAAATACCACCATTTTTTTTCTAAGGGGTGTACAAGTTTTGATATGACTTCGTTTGGGATTTTACTTCGAAATCGGGAAGGTTACAGAAGTAACTTTAACAATGGTTAGAGTACAATGTTATGTTCTGTCTAACAATCTGTTGATTGTTTTCTTTTGCTATGGTCAAATCTAAGAAATTGATAGATTAATTTTGAACTTCTGATGTGAGTTTAATTGATTTTGATATTGTATTCAAGTAATCCAATAGTTGATTCGGGGTATGGTTGTCAACGTTAAATAGGCATATGATGTCATCAACATATCTGTACCATATGATATCTTTCAGCATTGGGTTGACATCGTGGTTGACATTGTTCGTTTTCTATATGTTGCATGTAAATGTTATCTGGTAAACCAAATATTGGTGAACCCATTGCGAACCCTTCATTTTGTTTAGAATATACCAAATTGAATTCAAAATATTTTTGTTCTACCGTTGTTTTGGTGAGTGCAATTAGTTGTTTTGATAGGTTTTCCGATATAATTTGAAGGGTTTCTGTAATTTGTACATTCGAATACATGTTTGTAATATCGAATGAGATGAATACAGAGTTATTAGGAATTTGTACATCTTTGATTTCGTTTATCTACTCAAAGTTATTCAATAAAGTATAGCTATTTCCAAATGGCATGTAGTTCAGTTTGTAATTTAGAAATTTTGCAAGCTTATAGCAGAATGCATTATGGTAATCAACCACAGGTCGTATTGATATGTTTAATCTATGCGTTTTCAGTCTACCTTTTAGTTGTGGTGCTTTGGGTTTTATCATTTTCATTTTTCTTTCTGGAGTAGTTGTCTTACTTTTTGTAATGATTTTGTTTGTTTGTTTACTATATTCTTGAGTAATTAGGTTAACACTTGAAGATGTCATTATACACGAAACATGTTGTGTAATTTTATCAAATAAAAAAGGGTAGTTATGTTATTTTATATTTTAATTACTTAATAGCCCTCATAAATGAACAAGTTTACAACAATGAGTTGCAATACAGTTTGTACAATTTTTAATTTACAAAAAATAAATATGGATTAGTAATTTTCAGTCATTTTGTAATCAGCATTGAAACCCTTTAGATCCGAACAGGTTCGAATTTGGTATTTGGATTTGGGGAAAAATTGTTTTATCTAATAACAGACTATACAGGGTGTTCATTTGAAAACTTTCCATATCTGTTGTGTGCAAAGGTAAGGCTTTTAACACTTGTTTGTTCTCAATTCCCCCTAATTTGGACATGCCAAATCCAATAAAATTATTTTCAATTTTGAAAAATGCCCCAAAAGGGCCCAATTTGGGGGGTAGGGGTGCTTTTTGAGAAATTTTCCAATGTAAACATGGGTTATGTGATACATCAATTTAAAGCTCTAATCACCCCGATCATTTTGGTGCAAAAAAAGTTTAATTATCTTTAACCGTATTTACAGGGTAGTCCAAAACGTTTTAAAAAAGGACTTTGAAGTTAAGTACCGTATTACCCTAACTACTGAACGGAACAGCGCCAAATTTCTTTCCAAGCTTATTCTTGAGCTACTCTTTAAGATAACTTGTAGTAAGGGCATTTTCCAAGTTATTATCTAATTTTAAAAAAATCTCAAATTTTAAGAATAAAAGAAAAGAAGCTGAAAACTAAAAATTCCTAAATAGCAAGGTATAACAAATTTCATACCACGTGAAAGGTCCTTTTTTAACAAACATTTTACGTATTTAAGTTTTCTTTCTATCTCTTACCGTTTAAAAATTGCAGTGGAAAAACA